CAATTTTTTTAGTGAAATTTTCTAAGTATTAGTTTTACATCGTTGTATTATGCTAAATTGAATCAAATATTGGAATGTGGTAGGCAAATGGACAATTTCCATTAATTGAAAAAGACTTTTTTTCATTATTTTCTCCTATAAATCCTTAAAATTGCTTAAAACCGATTTTAATTTAATCAAATCCATTCGCAATCGAATTAAATTTTTGCCACTTTTATATGAAATATAAATATAAATTTATGGAATTCAAGGCAAATTTAATTTTTCATAAATTTCATAAATTTTAATTTTTATTTATGAATCGCTCTATTATCATTAACAATAATATTATTAATATTAATATTAATATTGTTTTATTATTAATATTAGTATTATTAATAAATTATTACAAAATTAATAAAAATAAAGACGAAATGAAAAAATTTTTTGCCAGAAAAAAATAGAATTTAAGAAAGATAATTTTTATTTTTCAATTTGTATTATAAATTAATTATAAATTAATTAAAAATCAAAAAAAAAATGATTAAAAGAAGATTAAATACTGTTTTAATTTTATAATGGCAAATTTTCATGTTCGAAAATTATAATTTGTTTCTAAGTAACAAACATTATTAAAAAAAAAAAAAAAGGATTCTTTCCACGCCTTCGTTCAAAATTCCTATCGAAATAAATGATATATTTCATTGAAAATATATCCTATTTTTATTTGGGAAAATGGAAAGGATTGCAAAAAATGAATATTAGCTTTATTTTTAAAACAATCAGCGATTAATAAAAATATCAATTTTATAAGTTTTATATTTTTTAAATTAAATAAATAAATTATTGAAAATAAAACGAAGAAAGTTTCGTTTTATGAAATTTCAGAAAATAAAAACTTAAAGAATTTTAAACTTATAAAGTGTAATATTAAATAATTTTTGATATTATTCAAAAAAGAAAAAAGAGATATGGTATATGCATAAATAATATTTGATACATAAAAAAATATTTGCCTTAGGCATTTGCTTTTTTTTTTACCTTATTTGCAAACTAATGGAACAATTTTTGTTTAACGGATATTCTTTATCAAATTTAGCCTCGCATAGTTGAAATTAGCTTAGTTAGAATAACAAACTATTTGAATAAATTATTTTATTTTTTATTTTAATCATTAATTTTTCATAGATAAATAATAGATAATATATGAAATGCACATCAATTGTTCAGTTGGTTTTTCATTCTTAAATATTTTTCGGATGATTTCAGGATTGATTACCAATTATCCATTCACATTTATCATTGATAAGAATTAACATTTATCACTGATAATGTTTACATTTACATTTACCATTGACAAGATATGCATTAATCATTGATAAGAACCTACAATTAAAAATGCTGGCACTTAAAAATAAATCTTCTTACTTTGACGGATTAATGCAATATCGTAATTTGAATTGAAGTTGGTTAACTGTCATTGCAGTATTTTTGATTACTGATTAATTCCATTTAGCATATATAATACCTAAAAATTTTTCCCAGTTTAGAACGAAATCTTTTTTTTTTTTTTATGAGATAAAATATTCTAATAAAGAATTAGTAGGCATAAAATCAATTAATGCATCAAATTTTTACAGACATTTTTTCCTATTGATTTTGGCTGAATTCATCATCCTTGCTATGTCTCATATTTCAGACGATTTGCAAAATTTTTCGCTTCCATGAATTTCCGCAATTGCTTAAGTTTTGTTTTTTTTTTTCTTAGAAAAAAGATAAGAAAATGGAAAAATTTTGTGATTTAAAAAATCCTATGTCACAAAAATTAATCTCTCAATTTTTGATATGAAAGAAAGAAAAAACTTCAATGTATTTCTAAATTTTGTTTATTTTTTCATTTTTTTTTACAAAAATAAATATTTTTTAGGAAAAAAATTTAAAATTTGAAAAAATATATTTTTTAAATAAAATTTATTTATTATAAATGAAATATTTTTTCATAAATAAAAATAATAGAGAAAATTTAATTTTCTTTTTTTTTTTTTTCATTAGAAATTCCATAGAATTTGTTCATTCTTAAAGAAAACTTCGTGTTTTTATTGTATAACAAATTATTTATTAATGAAATTGCGTTAAAATCCATAGATTTTATTTTAAGATTGAAATAAATTAATTTTAATAAAATCAAATTTTATATTCGTCTTCGATGAGAGTTACGTGAATTTGCCTACATTTGCCAAATCGACGAATATACGGTAAAAGTTAGAAATTTAAAATGATATTAAAGCCTAAAGCATGCCGGTTTTTAAATCGATTTCTATAGCTCATTAAAGTGATCCTTTCGGAGCAATAAATTTTTTTAACCTCTGACCTCAATAATCAGTGGATATCACAGCAAATTGTCATCAATATTTAACAATATTTTCATATAATTTTAGAATTTTTTCCACTGCAATTTTCCAAAATTATACGTTTTTAAAAATCTCATTGAGAAAAATGAAATATTTGTATGAGGAAAAAATAGAAGTTTTATTGAAATGTCAAAGAAGCCATAATCGATTATCATTTTGAGTTAAATACCTATTTACCTCAAAAGGCAATAAATATGAAACTCGAGTGGTTTGTTGCTTCAATTAAGATTCGATATGTGGGCAAAAAAATCACCAAATATTCATAATGTTGACACCTATCACCAAATGGTGAATTTCTAATGAATCAAATTCTGGTTGAAATGATTTGAGTGCGATTCGAAGAAGAAGAAAATAGAGAAAGTAGATGATTGATATAGTTTTAATAAGCATTTTATTGAGTTACGCACTTTACTAATGTCCATATGCTGTATTGTGGGGACAAAATGGCCCAGTGGGTTGTTGCTCAATTTGGAGTGCTAACACTGAGATTCGGTTCTCCGTAGGAGTAAACCTGTACAAAAATCTGAATGATGCGACTTATATGTATTTCTATCTCCAAGTGACTCCATGACATATCGCCTAATGCGACAAGCCGGTGGAGCGAGTTTAACCAGTAATGGTGAGGAGTCTTAAAAGAAAAAAAATTGATGCATTATAAATTTCAATGCATTTTTCTGGTTTTTTTTTCTCCCTTTCCTAGTTTAATTATTAACTTCTAACGTTAGTTCATTATTATTTGCCTTCTTCTAGTCGATGCCACGGTTTTATTTAATTTCATCCGATAGGCTTTTCGTTCAGTTTTAGTCCAAAACACATTTCCATTTTATCTGTCTGTCCATTTCTCGTTCGAATCAATATTCGCTTCAGTCTTCCAGAAATTTTTTTTCCTCCAAATAGTTTCACTAATCTCAATTTCATATAACCATTCCTCTTTAGAAATTCCATTATTTTTCATTCGCCTCTTTTAAAAGTCTTATTGAAGAACAAATAAATAAATTCGACAAAATTTTAGTTAATATCAATCATTTCTATTGAGTTTATTTCTTTTTTTTTCTTCGGTAGAATTTTTAAAAATTTATGAAAAAAACATCTGCACTAAACTTTTAGTTGTCATAGAAACGCGCTTTGATATTTAAATATTTTGTTATCAGAAACTCAGATTCAGTAAGCTGAACTCGTTCATGGATGAATTGATCCTCAATTAAAATCTTATTGTTTGACTTTTATTTGTTTCACTTCTTTTAATTCACTTATTTTTATCAGTTACTCAGTTTTTAATAATTTTATCACTTTATTTATAGCTGTATCACTTTATCAGTCTATCAAAATGATAAAATTAAACTGATATCATATCATGAGTTTGCTTAATTTTCTCGCTAATTTCATAAATAATCTAATGAAAAAAAGGCTGAAAAAATTTAAAAATATAAGAAATCAAGTTTTAATTAAGAAAATAAATTATATCATTCATTGAATTTCCTTTATCTTTAAATATTTAATAGAATTTTTCGAAAATGAAGAAAAAGAAAAATCTAATAGCTATCGATATTATTCGTTCTTTCTTAGAAAACTTTCAAAATTCTCAATTTCAATTTCGTTTTTAATCGTTTTCATTTATTTTTAAAACTACAAAAAAAAAAGTAGCATTGCGTTTCACATGTCTATCATATGTGGTTTATATGCCCTAATGAGCCAATCGTCTCGGTTTGGCTTCGATTAGTGCACATCGCCTAGAACGAATCGAAGTCCATTATTATGGATTCGTAATAATTTAGCGATCCATAAATTTTTTAGGCGATTCGAAAGGTGCTAAAAGAAATTTTATGATAAATCTATAATAATGAATGAATATTGCGCTACGCTATATTATTTTTCTTGAATGAGAAGAAGAACGATTTTATAATATTAAAAATAAATAATAAATAATTTTAATTGAAAAATTTCGAATTATTTTTTTTTTGTTTGAGATTTATAAAAATTAATTGAAAATTATTACGTAATATATTTATTATATATTGCGTGATATATATTTAAGAAATTTATTTAAATAAAAAAAAACAAATTATTTCGTTTGTTTTGAAGATTTGTTAGAAAATTTTTCGAAAAAAAAAAACGAAACAATTTTTCTTAGATTTGCTTTATTCCTTTTTTTTTTTTATTTTATTTTCATTGCGTCAGCGTCTAGAGAAATCATTTTTTATAATAATAATAATAATAATATTTTCATTTTAATTTCATATTCATGTTTTTTTAAAAAATTTTTAAAAGACTTCTTTTTTGAAGCAAAAAAATAATTTTTTCTCAAAATTTTTTAAAGATTTCAAGAAAATTTAATCGATTAAATTATTTTTTTCTTCTTTTTATTTTTTATAATAATTTTAAAATTTTATAATTTATAATGAATTTTAAATTTTTTTGATGGAATTTTTTAAAAATCAATTCTCTCTCTTCTCTCTTACTTTGAAATCTTATTTTTATACTAAAAATTATTTAATAATTTTTTTTAGTTTAAAATATAAGAAAATGTCAGAGGAAGCGTTGAATGCCAACGATATGGAATCGTATGAGCCAGAAGCTCGTTGGACATGCGAAGACACGGATACGACGATAATGACAGAGCGAATTCGATTTCCTTATGCTTCAAGTGTAATCGCACCGAATAGATTTATGAAAAGTGCTATGAGCGAACAAGTAAATAATTATTGCCAATTTTCTTTTTTTATATTTGAAATATTGTTGAAAAATGGTTTCCTCTTTCGGCGTTTTTACTAAAAAATTTCATAGATAATGAATCCTTATGAAAAGAATTTAAATTGAATAAAACTATTGCACCATAAAATTTCTTTCTTTTTTTTTTCCTTTTTATCCAATATTTTCATTTCCGAAAAAAGATCAAAAAAAAACCTTTAGAAGAAATTTAAGCTATAAAATTTATAAAAAAGAATTTAAACTATAAAATTTATAAAAAATACAATCTTAAAATATTATAGTTTTCTCTATATGCGTTAAAAAGATTTGAAAATTAAACTAAACAAAGAACTAAGAAAAGAAAATGGTTTCAATAATAAACTATTTAACAATAAATATTAAATAAAATATCGTAAAATATTTCAAACATATATTTTAAATCTTAAATTGGATATTATCAGTAATTCAGTAATTTTCAAATGATAATTTTGATAATCACTTTGATATTTCTTTCAGTTAGCAACCTACGATTCACATAATATGAAGCAGAGTGGCATTCCAACTAAAAAATTATTGAATCTCTATAAGAAATATAGTGATGGCGAATACGGTGTAATTGTTACGGGTTGTATTATGATTAATGGTGTAAGTGTTATTTGCATTATTATTAAATCATTCACTGAAATAAATAATAGAAACTTTCCAAATCGTTGAAATCGTTTTTCAGATTTCCTTCTTAAAATCCTATTTTTTTCGAAATATTAATTTCGACGAAATGGGTGGTTGCAGTTTTTCGTTGTAGATAGGCAGCCTCTCGTGGTTTATGGATTTCGTTTAGCATACTCAATCGGCTGTTTGAAGCAAAAAACCGATTAGTGCAATTCTCATGATTGCTTTAGCGAAAAAAAAATTTCTCAAAATTAAAGGGGAGAGACAAAAAATCTTTTTTTTTGTTGACCTGAAATTTTTTTATCAAATAAATTAATAAATTTAACGAAAATTTCATATAAAACGATTTATTTTCATCTTTTTTTTCTTAACGAATTTAATTTGTAAATTTCTTCTTCTGACAATTAACAAATTAGCACTATTATTGGTTTGTTAGGTTGGTTCCACTCACTGCAAAGATGAGACATGTCAAATTTTAGCAAAAATTACTAATTCAATAGCAGTAATTACTAATCTACTTTAATTATCATCTATAGAAATAGACCATTTTTTTAATCATGCAACAACAATAATTTACCATCTTTACATTGAGTAAGCGTACTGAATGAGCAGTGATAGTGATAAATTAAAATAAAGTTGGGCAAATTTATCGCCAAATTTGTAGAAAAATCTCGAGGCTCCTGGCAATGTTATCATTGATAAAGAACTGGAAAGCGATGAAAGGCGAGAAGCTTTTAAAGAATGGACTGAAATTACGAAAAAGAATGGAAGTGTTTTTATTGCGCAACTATTTCATGTATGTAATAATTCGTTTTCAAATTTTTTTATTCAGAGAATTAAATATCTACATAATTTCAACACCAGTTTCTGTTATCAGCTCATATCAGCTTATCAATAAAATATGAAATCTACAGTAAAATAAGATAGAAAAGTTGAGAAAAATGAAAAAAAACTGAAAAATTATTTTAATAAAAGTCTAATTAAATGGAAAAAAAATCTAAAGAGGATTAATGATTTCTGAAGGTTTTCGTTTTATTAGAAGGTAAATATCAATTTATCAATTTATAACCAGTCACTTCAATGAAAGTTATAAATTTCAATCGTTTGTTCAAAGTGGAATTGAAAAATAAAGAAAAAAGGTGGCTTATAACCAACCGATCGATATAAAACTGTAGATGAAACAATATTTGTTTCACTGGAAAGCATAAAAAATTTAGAATTTGGTCTATTTTTGGCCAACGTTTTGGCCAAGTTTAATAAATACCATCTTAATTGTTGAATAATAATTGAAGTGCGCGAATCGCTTTGCTAATACGGTTGGTCAATTTCATCCACAACAATTTTGCAATTATTTTTTATTGCATTTGTTTTTCCTCAAAAAATTTGAAGTAAATTGAAATTTTGGGCAAATTATTAAAATTTTATTTAAATAATAAAATTTTGTGAAAAAATGAAAGAATGAAAAATTTTTAGAAATTTGAAAAAAAATTTCTATAAAATTTATTTATTTTTTCTTCTATCATTTCATTACTTTGCATTTTCAATTAATCATAAAAAATTGATTTAAAACTTAATGAAATTTTTCAAAAAATATTTTCTATTAATTTTAACAGGAAATGAAATGAAATTATATATATTTTTAAGATTGAATATTTAATTTTTTTCATTCTGAAAATAGTGATGCTGAAAAAATTTATGGATTATTTTAATCAAAAATTTATTTTTCTTCCAATTCATTTAGGTTTTTCAGTTTTATCTGAAACGGTTTTTTCTATCAATAAAATTCTATTCCAATAAAAATAATTTTATCAATTCAATCTAATCATTCGATATAAATCAATTAGTTATTAAAATAGGAATTTATAGGATTTCATAAGATTATAGATTATAGAAATGCAATAACACCATAACGGATTACTAATGCACAAGCATAAAATCTACTTAAAATTATAAAATTACGATATATATATATTTTTTTAAAGCTATATTTTTCATAAAATTTTTAAAGAACCGAATTTTTTTCACTAATTTACCAATTAAAATTCTTAAATTTTTATTATTTCTAGTATCTTTTTGAGTTATTCGATTAAAATTTTTTAAATTGAAAGAATCTTTCAAAGATTCTCAAATTCTAAATAAATTCTTAAGTTCGAGTAAATTAATTTAATTTTAAGAAAAAATAAATCAAAGCTTAGATTTCGATATTTTTATAAGTTTTTTGTATTTTAGCCTGGTAAACATGCGATAGATATTGCTGGTGGCAATAAATTTGATGTGAATACAGTAACTCGAGAACAAATAGATGAAATCGTCGAGCAGTATGCGTATGCGGCAAGTTTCGCTCAACAATGTGGTCTGTTTTTTTTTTTCTCTCCAAAATTCTATTCAAATAAATTATTTTATTTTTATTTTCATTCAGTATTGTTATTCATTGCTTAATTTTTCATTTTTCCAAATATTTATAATTTTTTTCTCTTTTTTTTCCAAAACTAAAAAAAAAGCTTTTGAAATATTTGGCTATTTATAATAAATTTATTGGAAAATTTTTTCCATTCATTGAATATTCATCGGAAAAGTTGTTTTTTTTTTTTGTAGAAATTAGTTGGTTTAAGTTGGCAATGTGGTAATTCACACAAAAAAATGGCAAAATTTTTAAAAAATCTTAATTTGCTTGAAAATAAAATATCATAAAATCTTTTCAGTAATTGATTTTGACTGACAAATTAAATAATTAAATGATCATTAAACAATCATTTTAGTCGAAATTTAAGATTAATCAAAAGAGAAGAGAACTATAAAAATTAAGAAGTATTTTCAAGATGAAACTTGAGTAATGGAATTGATTTTTTTTTCATCTTGTAAAAAATTATTAAAAATTTCAGAAAAATGGTACTTAACATGGCTTCCAAGGCTTTTAGATTATCGGCCATGAGGATTTATAATGCTTCAAATATTCAATAGGTCTTAGACGAACATAATTTTAATAAAAATACGATAATTTTCGTTAAAAAAATGGAAATCAACTGAATTTCAGTTATCAAAAAAGAAATTTAATTAGATAAAAATTTTCATTAGGTTTTAATGGAGTGGAAATATCGGCTGCATATTCATATGCACTCGGGCAATTCTTAACGGTTGGTTCTAACTGGCGCACCGACGAATATGGTGGATCATTGGAAAACCGATCGAGGATCCTTTTCAGAATAATTCATGCGATTAGGTATCATATTTAATTTCTCTCCTATAATTTTATTTCTCTTTAAAATATTCTTTCATAAAAGGAAAAACTGTAAAAAAGAAATCGAATTCAATTGACATTATTTATTTTAAATGACAAAATGCAAAAATGAATTATATGAGAAAAATTTTGTTTGATTGAATGACTGAAAAATGACAAAAATAAAATGACAAAAAAAAAGTTTTCTTTTTAACGAAATTTATCGAAAATTAAGTTAAAAAAATTATACTTTAAAAATATTTTATTTTTTCTTATTTTTTGCAAAATTAGTTGCAAATTAATTTTGACTGTATAATCAAAATATTCTATCGATTATTTTTTATTTTTTTTTTAAGAGCAGAATTTTTAAGAAAAAAAAGCTATGAATTTTAAAGAGTCTCAAAATTTTATAAAGCAATATAAATTTAAAAATCTAAAAATCGCTAGTAAATGATTAGATTACGGGTTCGACGACCATCGAAGTTCGCGATTGGTCTGAAACTTTTCACGGGAAATTTTGAATCAGGTTTTGATGCAGAAGAATTTGAAGAGCTTATCCGTATGATTGAGGCTTGTTTAAATTTTCTTTAAAAAAGATTAAAAAATTTTTTTTTGATTTTCTAATTTTTTTTCTTTAATACTTAATTTCATGCTTTTGAACATCAAAAAAATTGATCATTAGAAAGAGATTCTATGAAAAATTTTCGATAAAATAAAAATGATTTAGATTTTAAATATTGAAATTTTAGAAGACGGGTTACGATTATATAGCAATAACAGGTGGACATTTCAATTTTTTCAAAGATTTTAAGAATAAAGCAATTCATGAAACTCCTGATTTCGAACACTTTTATCAAGCAATTGTATTAACTGTAAGAATAATTTCAAATAAATAAATAATTATGAATTACGATTTAAATTTTTTTTCCATTTTTTATCAAGAAATTCATGCATTATCACATAAATATATAATTCTTTTCTTGATGATTTTAATCAAATAAAATAAAAAAATTGACAAGACAAAACTATTTTTCCCACTTTTTGAGCAAAGATATGATTAGCATTTTCTTAAAGATTAAAAGACATTTAACGAGGACAAAAGTTTATATGAATGGTGGATTCGTAACAATAGCAGATATGTGTGATGCAGTACGAAATGGTTGGACAACTGGCATATCGCTTGCTAGACCTGTCGCTGCTGAACCAGGTTTACTTTTACTTAAAAATAGAATATAATGAATATATCGCTAATGAATCAGGCTTATTTCTAGAATTTGTTTTGAATAATAAACATTTTTGCAGATTTACCGAAAAAAATGTTAAGAAAAGAAGTGAAAAGTGCTGTTAAATCGCTTATCAGTCATGACGATTATTCAACAGCGTACGCATAAAATTATGCATATTATTATGATAAGCATTAGCGAAAAAAATTTTTGTGATTTATTCTATAATTCTATAAATCATCGCTGGCTTAGTGGCAAAACAATTGTCACCAAGCACACCAAGCTTCGAGAATGGCTAAGGTTCGAATCAAATCGATTCACCATGCTTCATCCGGTGGTCAAACTGCAAAAGCAAAGAGTGATAGAACGGGTCAGTAGATTGTTGGGAAGTGCCGATGTTGAGGTTTTACGCCCGGTAGGAGTAATCTCATCCTTCGAAAATCTGGGCAATGCTTGGAATTTAACTGTTCTTCTATCGCTAAGTGACTCTATCTGATCTGATCAACGGAGCAAATGATGAGTGCTGTTAGAGAAGAGGAGAATTCTATAAACTAACTCTCTGAAGATATTTTTTTGAAATTCTCTGAAGATATGATATAAATTATTTATTTTATTATTTATTTCTGATGATAAAATGAAAATTATTCTATCCTAAATCCTAAGATTAACTAAACTCTAAGATCTATATGGGTAACTCTATCTCTAAATTAAGATTAGATGAATTTCAGGCAGCAATTTGCTGGGACGCAACTTTGGCAAAACGCTATGTCTATAATTGTTATGGATGCATCAAATCCAAAACATGTAGATATCTTCAAGCATGATCTTGAAGAACATATTAAACTGAAAAGTGAAACTCAAACAAATGAAAATGACCAAATTATTGGGTATCCGAAGATAAAATTAGATGAAAAAGATGAAAAAAGTTTGTCAGATGTTTCCAAAGAAAGAACTATTGAAACTGAAGACAGGACAAGTGAATATGTTGATGTTGATAGCACAACTGGCTCGATAACTTCAATGACAAAAATTTTAACTGAAGGTGAAGATATTGCCAAAGAAGTTTCTATGACAAAAATATTAGGCGATGATGAAGGTAGTGCTCAAAAAGTTTCTATGACAAAAATTTTAACTGATGGTGAAGATATCGCCAAAGAAGTTTCTATGACTAAAATATTAGGCGATGATGAAGGTAGTGCTCAAGAGGCTTCCATGACAAAAATTTTAACTGAAGGTGAAGATATTGCCAAAGAAGTTTCTATGACAAAAATATTAGGCGATGATGAAGGTAGTGCTCAAGAAGTTTCTATGACAAAAATTTTAACGGATGGAGAAGACATTGCCAAAGAAGTTTCTATGACTAAAATATTATGCGATGATGAATGTAATGCTCAAGAAGTTTCTATGACAAAAATTTTAACTGATGGTGAAGATATCGCCAAAGAAGTTTCTGTGACAAAAATATTAGACGATGATGAAGGTAGTGCTCAAGAAGTTTCTATGACAAAAATTTTAACTGATGGAGAAGACATTGCCAAAGAAGTTTCTATGACAAAAATATTAGGCGATGATGAAGGTAGTGCTCAAGAAGTTTCTGTGACAAAAATTTTAACTGATGGTGAAGACATCGCAAAAGAAGTTTCTATGACAAAAATATTAGGTGATGATGAAGGTAGTGCTCAAGAAGTTTCTGTGACAAAAATTTTAACTGATGGTGAAAACATCGCAAAAGAAGTTTCTATGACAAAAATATTAGGCGATGATGAAGGTAGTGCTCAAGAAGTTTCTGTGACAAAAATTTTAACAGATGGAGAAGATATTGCCAAAGAAGTTTCTATGACTAAAATATTATGCGATGATGAAGGTAATGCTCAAGAAGTTTCTATGACAAAAATTTTAACTGATGGTGAAGATATCGCCAAAGAAGTTTCTATGACAAAAATATTAGGCGATGATGAAGGTAGTGCTCAAGAAGTTTCTATGACAAAAATTTTAACTGATGGAGAAGATATTGCCAAAGAGGTTTCTATGACAAAAATATTAACTGATGGTAAAGATAGTGCTCAAAAAGTTTCGATGACAAAAATTGTAACGGATGGTGAAGATATAGCCAAAGAAGTTTCTGTAACCAAAATTTTGACTGAAGATGAAGATATCGCCAAAGAAGCTTCTATGACAAGAATATTAGGCGATGTTGAAGATGTTGCCCATGAAATTTCTGCCACAAAAATTTTAACCGATGGGGAAGATATTGTCAAAGAAATTTCTATGACAAAAATATTGACTGATGACGAACCATTCAAGTATCAAGATGCCACAGACGGCAAGGAATATAATATAACATGTGGAACAATAGAAGATTCATCGAGAAGTACCGAAGAAGCAAAGGCAAAGATTAGTGCGAATAATGGTGTATTCGATTCTACTAAATCTTCTCATATCTTAGGCAAGACGAATGGTACATACGATTCGACGAGCAATGAAAAGTTATCAGTATCAGCGCCTTTTGACCAAAATCAAAAAGATTATGTAAGTAAGGAAAAATCTGAGGAAATCAGCAATAAACAAACTCATATCGATGATGCATATCATCATGAATATACTGATAAATATGGCGATCAGGTGAATTATGATGACGAAGAAAGGCGAATGATGGATTATGTACGAGAAGATCCAATGCTACCATCGCATGCAACTTTATTTGGTTCTGTGTCAGCCGACGAAATAAAAGAACAGAATGGAGCGTTGAATGAAGACATTAAAGCAACTATAGAAGGTGATAGCGCATTTCAATCTCGACAGGATCCTAAAGCACAAGATGAATCCAGTGCAAACGATATGTATGCAAGTTATCATTTTGATAGCCATGATGTCGAATATACGGGCTCAACAATAAATGCGCATGATGAAAAAGGTGAAAGCATATCTCATTCGATTACATCCGTACTTCCTGGTGCACAAAATTTTTTCTCGACTATAAAAGGTAAATTCGACGATGTAATGAATACTATGCACAGAAAAAACAATAAAAATTCATCGGACGAATATTTCAGCAATAATGCTAATGAATTATCACCTGATTCTAGTTCATTAGCAATGAACGATCCAACAATAATAAATAAATCTGAAAAAATTCTCAATAGAGGAGAAGATGACGATGAAAAATTTCATCAGGAAACAACGGTTATATCCGCTATGACAACTGATAGTACTCCAGTTGTTGCGGGTATTGTTTCCGATATTTCGATAAGTGAAATTGCTGAACAAAATGCACAATCGTCAAGCGCCGATGAAAGATTTCATGACACCGAATCACCAATTGGCATTTATTTTGATGCAAATGAAAACAAAAAAATTCTTGAGGATAACGATTTTGAAATTATCCATTAATTGAATTTGCTTATTGCTTTAATTATGAATTCATATTCTACTTTAAATAATATTGCTTTTGCTAAAAAAAAAAAAAAAAAAAAATTTTTTTTTAATTTTTAAAAATTAAAAATATTTATTAAAAATTGAAAATTTTACCAAAAAAATAATACTTGCAATATTTAATAAAAAATGCTTAAATTTTTTATGTTTCCCAATTTTTATATTTATCGAAGCGAATTATTTACTATTGTAAAGCAAAGTATCATTGCTCTCAATTGTAAAAATATTCTTAATAAAACTCTTTTAATGAAAATAATCAATAAATATCAATAAATATTGAATATTGGAATAAAAAATTTAGATAAAAATTAAAATTTGTTCCTGAAAATAAATAAAAAATTTTAATAAAAAGTGAAGTGTTTCGCAAAATATTTAAAAAATATCTTTCATTTCTAAAAAATTCATAAAAATATCAATCCAAAATTTTTTTTTTCACTTTTGAAGAACCAAGGATAAACAACTTCTTCCCGCCTATCCCAAAATATAAGCTCAGCATTTTAGCCATTGTTGGGATCTCGTCGGTGGGAATGGGGAAGGCGAAGGGAAATGGTTTGGGGAGTGGCTTGGGGTTAATTTGGGATCGGGAATGCGTTGGGTAGGGACGTTCAAGTCGACATCGGCCTTATTGCGTCGTTTCCTACACGTCGCTACCACGTGCCTCATCCACCCCTATTAGATTTGCAATACGGGACATTCATATACCGCGCCATTCGTGATTCGTTACTTTTTGTGCATATTATATATATATATTTATATTTATATATTAATAACGGTTCAATTACCCAAGTTTCAGTTTTAGTGTGGTCAATTCGCAGCGAAATATTCATAAAGAGAACGCTGGCCGAAGAATATATAAAATTGTTGATAGATAAAAGTTCCGCGAAGTAGGAAATTGTTAAGTCTAAATAGACAACACAGAGAAAAGCTGATCTCTGAAGGAATTTTTTGTGAAATTAGATATTGGAGGTAGGAATCGCTGTGATTCAAGGAAATTCGTGTCACTTTCTATTTCTATACACATATAACTTTGAAGGTAGAACGGCTCAGTGGGTTTTTGCTCAATTGGGAGCGGCGATGTTGAGGTTCGATTCCTAACAGGAGTAAACCTGTACAAAAATCTGTTATGATGCTGGCGACTCACCTGTATTTCTGTCGCCAAGGGACTCCCTGGCTTATTGTCCAGTGCGACAAGCCAGTGGAGCGAGCCTAACCAGTAATGGTGATGATGATTCTTTAAAAAAAAAAAAAAAAAACGGATACAAGTTTAAATATTAGCCAACATTTTCACAGTTATAAATAAATAATTATAAGTAAATTGCTAGCACTTACCACTTTTGAAAAGGCTTTTAATATAATAAGACAATTTTTGCAAATAGCCACATTCGGATGGAAGCGTAGATAGATAGGTAATAGATAGATAACAGTTATTATCGGGTAATAATTTCCTATAATTTAATAAATCAAATAACTTATTTAATATTAATATTTATTAATGCTTATCAGAAATATATTATACGCCATTTTTTTTCCATATGATATGATAGTTTATTATTCGAGAATAATTTTTTATAGACAAACAACTGAATAATTTCATCCATTTTCCACTTTAAACTTGCATTAATATTCTTTTGTTTTCAAAAACTAAAAAAATTTCCAAAAGACTTTGCATATTAAAATAATAAAATTGGATAGAATTTTTTTGTATGCAATCGATTCAGCTATAAAGCATGAAAAGTATGTCGAAATTTGAAAATTTTCCTTTTCTAATAGAAAAACCAAAAGTCATTTATCACTTATCGCTTATCACTTCCTAAATTCTGTATGGTACTATGGTACTTAAACAATGTTTTATTTGGAATGCATTATTTTGATACAAAAACTATGGAAAATAAAAAGATTGCATTTTAAAACTTTTTCCATAAATTTTATATATTTGAATGCAATGCGCGAGTTTCATCGTAATAAATCACATTTCGATCTAAATATTTGCAATTATTTATTTATTTTATTAAAAAAATCCGATAAAAAATATAAAAATTAAAAATTATTTTAGTAATAATAATGTTATAACAAATAATAAATAATAATAATAAAATAAAACAATAAAATATTATACTGAAAAGTCAAACAAAAATATTTTTTATTAATCTTTCATTAATTTTCATCTTTAAATTTGCAGTTTTTTTTCGAAAAAGCCTATTAGATTGATTGGTTATCTTTAATTAATCGATGAGATTACTTAAAATATACTATTTAAGTAGAATATCAAGTGACTTGTTGAAAAATCATGCACTAAGCCTTGAAAGTGGGAACTGTAAGAATTGTTCAACAATTCTTCCATTCTTTAGAGGATAGAATGGCTCAGTGAGTTGTTGCTCAATTGAGAGCGCAGACGCTGAGGTTCGATTCCTCACAGAAATAAACCTGTGCAAAAATCCGGGTGATGCTGGCGACTCACCTGTATTTCTATCGCCAAGGGATTCCCTGGCATATTTATCCATCGCGACAAGCCAGCGGAGCGAGTTCAACTAGTAATGGTGAGGACTCTTAAAAAAAAAAGTAAAAAATTGCTCAACAAACTCGCGAACTATGTAAACGATGATTTTCGTCAGCTTCGCTATTTGCCTTGTTCGATTTGATATCATTTGTAAATATTTCCTTTGGCATTGTAATTATAATATCTCGTTCGATGAACTAAAATCGATTATATTTGCGAATGACATGAAATTTGTGGTTGATGAGATTGCATCCTCCTTATATTGATAGTACCATCATAGTTTACGTTGGTTAGGACACGTTCTTCATCATTCACCTAAGGAGTTGACGCGTTGACACGCATTTCGTTGAAAGGATGACTTCAAGAGCGAGATACAGTCAGGAAAGATTTTGAACGCAATGGGTGGGTGTATTAGCAATATTTAATGGAAAAAGGAACGGTTTCTATTAGTGTCAACGATGGCATCAGATAGCTCAGTCCTCACTCTTTTAATTAATTATTACAGACCGACTAATCACTAATGAGGACCATCCAAAAAATCCAAAGAATCATTCGGCGGAGATAATAATTTTCGTCCTTGCTGCAATCATTGTGAGTCTATGGAACTAAAGTAAGACATTCTAGTCTAAAGAATTATTTAGTGGAAATTAGCGGGATTTCCATCATTTCCTAGGTTCATTTCACTGACAACGCGAAAAAATATTTGTTATGGTGTTTTTGCCTACTCGAGCTGTTGCAGGGCCATATCTTTTTAGTATTGGCTTTCGTCCTGCCTTGCGACAACCATTATGAGTCTTATAGAGCTGAAGAAGTAAGTGCATTGCTATCAGCTTATAAAAAATTAATAGATAATTTTATGCCGTTGAAATTTTCTCTCTTTGAGGAAGAAAAAAATATATATACTTTTGAAGTTACTTTACGATTATTATCAGTCAAATTTCTCAGCTCGTAGTAATTTGTTGATTCATTCCTTCTCCGTTGGCCAATCTGAACCATTTTATAATCATTTTTCTAGTTATTGACTTAAAAAAAATAGTACAAAAAAATTTCTTTCACTTCAAAATAATCCCATTTTTAAAGGAAATATATAACTCTTTCTCTTTTCTCTCCTGAAAAACGGAATAATTTACCGAGGTTTCTGATTTAGAATCGATCGTTGAATAATAATCAATCAACCAAACAATTAGAAGAAAAACGATGAATATTATTAGCGATAATAAAACCAAAAAAAAGCCAGCGGACCATTGTCGATAAGTTAATCCAAATAATGTTTGACTGAAATGGCAAATAAATGATATTTAATTTTTCATTTATAACTAAAAATAATAAATAATTTAAGAAAGTAATAAAATAATTTCTACCATATTCCATTGTAATCGCTTGTTTTTTGCAGAATTTTGATCATTTTAAATTAAATGCGAAAGGAAAATAAACTAAGAAAAATAGGAAATATTCCCATTTTTAGATAAAATTTGAAATAACCTCCGGCAAAAAACACTTTAGACGCGAATAAATTTAATAAAAATATAAAATTTTTAAATTTTAATTAAAATTAAAACTACACTTAAAATAAAGTTATTTATTTAATTATTAAATATAAATATAAAATATTTAAAATAAATACAATATTTTATTTAATAGGCTTTTTTTATAAAAAATTTTTTTTCATACTTCATATTAGCTGTCAACATTTGTCGTAAAAAAAATAAATTTCACCGGTTGTTTAAAGCGACAAACGATTTAATGGAATTAAAAATTGAATTTTAAAATTTTAAAATATTTGAAAATATTTATATTTATTTTTGTAAGAAATTCCGACCAATTAAATTTATAATTTGGTATTTAATAATTTCGAAAACATGGTTTTGTATTTTATTTTAATCAAGCTAAATTGTTGTTTTTTTACAAAAAACTAATATTAGATAGTTCAATACCGAGTAATTTCGCATAATTCTGATTTAATTCTGAATGGTACCAAATTAAATCATAGGTTCTTGAAATCGCTTACAGTTTACTGGCCTATCTAAGTGGAACATCTCAGTACCAATAATTACAGTTGTAGATTTCGAGAAAAAAAGGCAAATCAAACTTCTAAAATGCCGAGGAAAGAAGATGATGGACTATTAGGATTTAGAAATATTTAGATTTCAGATAGCATTTCTCGTGCTAAAATTGAAAATTGATGGATAGATAGAATGCCGAATGATGTTTTGCTTTGATTCTCAGTCCTTAGGAGCTCAATCGTTTATCACTTAAGGTATAAAGACTTTATCTCACCTATGCGAGCTTCTTCCTTAAAGTCAATCTGGTGGAAGTGGTGATTTATTCTAGTAACCATTGAAATCAGTTAAAGTAAAAATAGTAATTATGCTTTTTGAAGAAATGAACCATTTCGAGAACAAATTCAGAAATAATTTTATCTTTTTTAACACTGGCAAAAAAAGATTTTCCTTATAAATATAAATCTAAAACATAAAAATATAAAACAAATACGGTATATTAAATATAAAATAAATTTGATATTTCAAAAATGTATGCTCTGATTTTTTCAAAAATTCTTTTTCGCATAAATTTCTTCCTATAGTAGAAAGGTGATTATTAGCCTCGCTCTATTGTTGATAAGAAATTTTCGCTGAGGTGTCAGTTGAGGATAAAAGTACAAGTTATGCGTGCGCTATTCTCATAAAATAGCGGGTTTACTTTTTCCGCGAATAAATATTTGCTTCCAAATAGTCTATAGGTTTTTGAACGAAAAATGAAATAATGAAATAATCATAAGCTGTCATCATCATTCGACAAAATTCAACAAATGTTTACAACAAATGCTAAAATTCGGGAAAAACTGAAAATAATAAGCACAAGGACTACAATCCATGGCTATTTTCACATATTATATATTAAATATATAATTTATGCAAAATCGAAATTAAAAAACTTTAAATTTACAATTTACTAAATTTACAATTATTATAACTCGTGGTTTTCACAAAAATTTCGCCGCTTAACTGGATCGGTAGCAGTTTGTGATAGCATATGATAACCGGTTGATGCAATCTCTCCGTCTCTATTTGGCAAATATTTTTCACAAATTTTACCAACCACAGCAGCACCAATACTATCACCATAAACATTTACTGTAGTACGAATACGATCCAGAAAGAAATCGACAGGAAATATTAAAACAAAAAGGTTTGATGGTAGACCAATTGCAATAAGAACCATGATCATGGTAACAATTCCTGTAATATAATAAAGAATATATTATGGTCATGCAACGATTAGAAATTTTGATGTTCGAAAGCCGATAACTCAAAGGAGTCGTTTAACAAATAGAGCTCAGATTCTTGTGAGAGCGCCCACCATTTTAGGACTTTAATTCACCAATTCAGATATAGTTCACTATTTCAGGTTTAGTTCATCATACTTACTCTTGCTGAGAGTTGTCGAAAAACTCCAGCATCGGCGAAAAACAACCCACTGAACCATTCTAAATTTTCGATTAACCAGTTTTTGATTTAAGAAGATCTAAAGAATTCGCGATACCTGCTTGAGGAATTCCAGCAGCACCGATACTAGCTAAAGTTGCAGTCAAACTAACAATGATGATACTTCCGATGGATAAATCTTGCCCGACGCATTGCGATATATAAATTGCTGCCACTGCTTCATATAAAGCTGTCCCATCCATATTTCTGAATTTTTTCAGAATTATTCATTTCTCCATTAAAATAAAATATATAAAAATAAGTAGTATAAGTAAAAATAATAAAAGTAAATAAGAATGATATAAATAAGAATAAGAATGATATTTTGGTCGATGAGGAATTGTACGAGAGTAGAAATAATATTTGAGATAATGATATAATGATAATGATAATGGTAATGAAATAATATATTAGAAATAATAATATAATAGTAGAAATAATAAATAATATTTAATATATTTGAATATGATATCGCCTCGGTTATCATCGAACAATTTAAAAAAATTAAATAAAGAAAAGGTTTCTCCTTCCAAGTACCATTTTTTGATAATAATTTTAGCTTATTGCGCTAAACATTCAAATCCTTTTGGCCTAAGAAAACCTATTCTGTAACGCAGCAATGTATTCAGCCAATATGCTCTCATTTAAGAGAATTAAGCTGTAATTTTTTAAAAAATGAACAAAATACATAGTTGCGCCTAGAGGCAATACAAAGCGCGCAACTCTTGGATCGACGCCATTATTTTCTTCGACACATTTTATGCTCAACGGTAGTGTCGCTGAACTGAAAATATATTGCATTTAACTTATGCTTATACCTTTCTTGTATGTCTTTATTAGTTTATTTCAATCTCAACACGATTTGGTGGTTATTTACTGGATATATTTGAAAGGATACTAAATATTGAAAAATAAAGATTTCTAGTCGATGGATTCATGGATTGGAATCTTCATTTGCTTAATTTGCTTTATTTAGCCTGCGTTTGGGTTCGGGTTCAGGCCCTACTTCAGATTTAGGCTGAAACAAGAGGTGACACATAGATTCGGTTTCGGCTCAGGTTTGAGAGTTAGGAATAGGCTTTACTATTACTGTTCAATCATTAATATTATTATCATATGCTATTATTATAAATTATTTATCATCATGAAATTTCATGCAATTTTACATCGATAATTTATCAACTTTTGATAGCCATTTAAAAGAAGAGCCGATGTATTTGCCAATAGCGCTTTTATTCCATTTGCATAAAATTTGGAAACTTTTTGATCCAAAGTTTATTGCTTTCGGATTCCTCCTGCTTTTCTTTGAGGAATTATTGTTCAGAAAATGTATAAAATAAAAAGTGAGACGTTTTTAGGCAAACATCAAATGAACGAGGATAGATTTCTCAACGGAAAAAAAAATTGGTTCACTCAACGAAATCATTTTTTCGACGAGGCAAAAGGACGAAATCTTTTCTATTGGTCAGCACCAATTTGTTATGCCTACATTGTCTGGTTAGCTACTTCCAATTCGTGACCATTATATCACTTCGTTGTCATAAATCATCGCACCAGTTCCTTGGAAGATATAACGCACCGATAAAGCAGTAGCTCATCAGGTTCATGTTGAATGAAGGTTTGATTTAGCATGGACAGAGAGGCTCATCTTTACATTTTGCACCTTTCTTTCTTGTTATGTAAGAGTCATTTTTCACCGCAATGAAAAATTCTCCTCAGAATAATTGTTTTCCACCAGAGGGAACCTTTAAATTTTCATGAATTTGCACAATCCACTTTCCCCATTGTATACTCCATATTCTGCTGTATGAAAGGTAAATCTGGACATCTATAGAACTTAAAGGCTGCCCGCTAAGTAATGCTCATCAATGCTCACTTGTTGATATTATTATTATAGCATCGTTTTTATGCCATCTATTATGCATTTAGCATTTATTGAGTAAGTTTAATACGGTGAAATTTGGTTTAGTCTTGATTATGACCTTGGACTTACGCCTATATTTGGGGTTAGGTTCAGCCTTGGCCTTAGATTTAGTCTGGGGTATATAGACATAGATTTGGTAGCGGTTTAGGCATAAGAGCAAAAGTGAAAAGTATTGGTATTTGTTTTTTTTTTGGCCGAGAAAAGATTAGAGCCAAAGCATTTATAGTTGCTTGTTAGAGGAATTAATTTTTAATACAGAATATCAAAAGGCTGTTTAGTTAAGAAGAACAATTCCAGCAATCCAGATTCAGACTTCCGAAAACCCTTTGTGTATGACCTCGAGTTGTCGCTCGATTTCACGATATTAAACAAACTTTTTCTATTTCAATTAATCCATTATTCTTGTTAATGATTAAAAACTCTCGCTGAAAGTGAATAAGAGACTCCGGATCTTGACCTCCAGCTAAAGTCACTTCTACTCATTTGATGAACATTATGCAAGTCAGTTTTTTAATAATAATAATAGATTATAAATAGAATTGCTTTCGTTGATGCAATGTTTCATTCCTTCATATCAAATATGAATCATTGAATTCTGAAATTTTTTATTTAAAAAATCACCTGGAACTAGTTGCGAGAGCTGTGAGAAGAGCTTGAGCCATTCCATAAACGTACTTAATCGGATTTCTCCTCGCTATCTGGAATGACGATAAATTAATTATTTGCTAAGCGACAATAATTTTATAGATGAAAGAAATAATCTTCGAATGTGCTAACAACAATCATAAGAGTTGGTAAGACGATTAATCCATGTATAGATAATCCAACCAGAACACAAATCATATAACCCATTAGTCTCTGCACTTCCATTCCAGGATTTTTCATTCCGACAATTTGAGCAGCAATTAAAAAGGTGATTCCAACTGGTGATAACCTATAAATAATAATCTATCCACTATATTTAGAAAAATAGATGAAAAAAGAATTTTGCAAGACTTTCAATCCAATATAATAGCTAGTGAAATACTAAGATCAAGCTTCATGGATTTTCTCTGAAATTCTTGGTTCACAATTTATCTTATGAAAAATCTCAATTTAGTTAGGTTTCACAATAATAATCAGCTGAATTAACAAATCAGAATAGGAGATAAGAGGGGAAATCGAGCATACCTTTCATATTTTCGCTCTTATTCAAAGCAATCTCATACAATGGTACTCATTAAATGAAAAACCATTAACTATCAGATTCACACCGGAATAAATGATTATCATGAATTCGGAGGAGGAGAATAAAAAAAATAAAGGCACAAGAGTTTTTCAAATGATTAAAGGAAATTGTTGTTAATTCAAAGAATTTATTATAGTGATAGGCGAAATTGCAAGGAAAGGGGAATTTATTTGGAAAGAAATGGACTGAAAAAAACAAAAAAAAAGGGAAAAATTAAAGAAAAGAAAGAGCATTAGGCTTAAGCTTAGGCCTAGGCTTGATTAGAACTATTTACAATAAATAGAAAAATTTGCGTATTGTTCCCAGTTTAAATTAGATTAACTAAGAGTTATGAGCATTAAGAAATAATAATATATAATAAAATATTAACTAACCAAATAACGAATGATATTAATCGCATGCAAACAGTTTCAAATGATTTAAAGAAAGCTTTAAGTGGTGCACCTTCTTCACCAATTCGTGCTAGTACGATACCAACTGAAACCGCAAATACTACCAATCCGAGAATATTCATTCCATCGGTTCGTACAATTTCAGGTGTTGCTTGATATTTATTGCGTTCCTCTGTGAAATTTAATTTTTAATTAAATTTTATAAATGATAAAATAAAAAAATCAGACTAAATCGATGCCTAATTTAAAAATTCAATGCCTAATCAAATTTTTAAAGCACGAAAAAAAATTGAAAAAAAATTAATTAAATATTATCTATAAATATTATCCATTCCAATTTGCGATTAAATATTATTTTATTCGACTTATCTTTTGCTTAAATTCATCCGATTTATTCAAATTGAGTTCTGGAATCGCTCTAACGATTATTTTCTATTAATTGCACTTAAACAAAAATATTTTTAAAAAATCTTAAATCTTAAATAGAATTTTTATAAAAATTCGTAAAAATTTCATACCTTCAGTGAGTTTCGTTGCTTCAAATGAATTAACATGAATACTGCCATTCATAAATTTTAAGCAAATTTTTTCCTGAAATTTTTAATTAAACGAATAAAATGAAATTTTTCAGCAAAAATTTTAGTTTATTAATTTAATTTAATAGGAAAAAAATTTATTAATTTAATAGATAAGTAAATAAGTAAAATTTATATAATTTTGAAGAAAAAAAGTTCATTAAATTTTTTTTTTTTATTTATTTTAAATTATTTAAATAGGGAAAAATAAGAGAATTACTAACGCTTCGAAATGTTGCTTCCATTAAATTTTCCGGAAACATTCCTCTATAAATTTTTATTAATTAATTTTTTTTGCTTCAACAGTTATATAAATAATTAATAATAATTAATTATACATAATAAAAACCCTTAAAATGTTGAAAATTTATACAGAGAAATTTAGCAAATATTTGCCTTAATGAATTCTATAATTCCATAAATTAACACTAAATTAAACTATAAATTTGCATAAAATATTGTTTTTTTTTTTTTTTAAATGAAAAAATTATTTGAAAATTATTTGAACTCGATTCAGTTATGAATTTGAATTTAAGTATAAAAATATAATTGTTATTAAATTTATTAATTAAGTAGATGAAATATTTAAATATAATATTTTAAATTTTTTAAGATCTTTTTTTCTCATATCGATTTCAGCTGGAAATTCAGCTGAAAAAAATAGCAAAAAGAATAAAAGAAAACAGAAACAAATTATTTACTAATGAACATTGCTATATCTATATTTATTACAAATTTTAATTAGCAGATGTTTTTTAAATGATTGATATGATCAGCTGAAAAAAAAAATATAACGACAGAGGAAAATTCTTTCATCAAAATGAAATTTGTCTGATTAAATTGGATAAACGACACACTTAACAAGATCGAGCATCGTATCCACTGCACTTGAAACGCACGGTATTGTATTACTTGTGCCAACAAGCTCCTCGATATCTGTTATCATCCATTTGCCTGGTTTTATCGAAACCACAAGTATTATTCCTAGAATTGACGTTTCCATGATTCCATTCATTTAGGTTCTATTAAAGGAAAGATAATTTTTATAGGTTAAAAACTGATTAGCTATGAGTAGTTCACATATTTTTAAATTCAATAATATAGAAAATGATAAAAATATCTAACCAATTGTAATCGCTATCATAGTTGTCGTGAAATAATATATCAATGCGATGCTTCCCATACGACCAGCTGTACTTGGATCTAAGCTTGATAATGATGATCTAAAATGATAGTGACTGGGAACAAAATATGCGAAGCAGTCCAAAAAATCAGAAATCTTACGAACAGAAAGTACTTTGATTTAATAAATATGATTTTTAATATCTACAAAGAATTTTCCTTCGAAATCTCATGAAATAAAATTTATATTCAATAAAAATGAAAATTAAATGAAATGAAATAGAAAGAAAATGGTTGACTGAAAAATTCTCTTAGGGTATAAATGATTTTAAGAAAATGGCTCTGATATTACAAATAATTTCAGCAGATTGTTCCCAACAACAGATTGTTAAAGCGAAATGCTCGATTATGTTTCTTCGGCTAAAATCAAGCTATCATTTAACAGGCGCAGACCTGTCATTAAATGGTGAAATCTAAGAAACCACCTGCATTTCTATTCCAAATATTTTTTGGCGATGCTATTGACCAACTAATGGACTCAGCCAAAATAGATGGAAAAGATGAGTACCAATGGAAGAAAAAAGTTTTGCAATATCTCGACCATCAGTATCTCAAACTCTCTCGGCAGATGACCTTGATAAAGATAAGTTCTATGCGGAACAAAGTCTCACTGAAACATGAAATGGTCATAATCGGGGGAGGCTGCGTACCTCATAATGTCGCTGCGGTGACCTCGTGGAATTGGCAAATATGGCACGAAGATCGGTGCACCAATGGGGAACACCTCTTTCTTTACACCGAAGAGCGTGAACTTTTTATTATTAACTTGCTTCTGGCGTCGTGTAAAACATTTAGTCAAATCACGTGGAACTTCCCAGATAATCAACACTCCAACCAGGTTGATTAAATCTTTAAGTCAGTCGCCACTGGAAGACTTCCGTACTAGATAGTCGTTCTTATCGCTGAACTGAAATGGCAATCTTCATGAATCTGATCATGTTATGGTTCGAGCCAAGATCCGCATAAAATTGACAACTTGCAAAAAACAGCATCCTCCAAGATCCTTAAACTATTTTCGTGGACAGTGGGCGCATTTCAAACCGAATTATTGAAGCACATCAATGGTACAAATATTAATGATTTTTCTGAAACGTCCAATGAATACTAGTCCAAATTAAAGGAATCTCTCTAAAAATCAGCCACTTCCACAATAGGGCATATTAGTAGGAAGTGCGCTACTTGGGTATCGGAAGCAATTGTCCAACTGTCTGAAAAAGCTGCCAAAGCCCGAATATCAGGAGATCCTAATTACCAGATGCAGAAGGTTTGCAACGAAAACAGCATTGTGGGAAATCACTATTGGAGTGACATGTCCTCAAGAATAGAGACGGCAGCTCGATTAGGCGGTAATAGGAAACTATTCCGCCTTCTTCATAAAGCATATTATGGTAATTCGGGGAACGATTAGTGAAATGGTAAGGGACTGCGATAGCGTGCTGCTCAAGAGTATAAGATTACAAGTTTATTAAGGACCTCCTTATAAGATGGAAAGAATTCTTTGAAGCCAAACTTAAGCATGAAGCGCCGCCATCTGTTGCCTCTAATATGGCTGATGCTTTCGCTGAACCATATGCTCGAAATTGTCAGCCGCCAATAGAAAAAGAAATAATATCTAATATCCATAAGGTTAAGGCCAATAAGACTCCAGGAGAAGATGGTCTTCGGACTGAACTCTTCAAATGTTGTCCATCGTCCTTCATAATGCACCTTCAATAAATGCACTCTATAGTGTAGAAAAAAAAATATTAACAGATGATTGGTACAAAGCAATTCCGCTCCCAATTCTCGAGAAAGGTGATAGGACGGACATACTGCGACAATTATCGAAGAATCAGCCTACTAGATATTTCAGACGTCTCAGTTTTCAGTTTCCCTGCTACTCAACAGACTTATGGAAGTACACGATAGAAGAACGCGCTCTAATACTATCGCCTAATTAATTATTAACCCTTACCAGATATTATTAGACATTACCAGATAAATAAATAAACAATGAAATAACCTTAAAATATTGGAAATATTACCCATATTATATTACTCATATTTATATTTTTTTTGTAAGAACAGTCACCATTGTTAGTTAAATTCGCTCTACTGGTTTGTCGGATAAGGCAAATTTTTGCAATGATTTAGCGATAGAAATACAAGTGAGTCACCAGCATTCCCCGGATCCGTTTATGTTACCCATAAATATTATTATTTAGTAAAAAATAGTCCTTTGACCAATGAATTTCAGTGCTTTCTTTCCGCTTTTTTTATTTTTTTGCATACAAAAAATCTCAAAAACTTTTTTTTTTCAAAAATTAATCTTAAAATTGCAATATTTTAATGATATTTTGAGAAAAAAGAGATTCAAAAAAGCTATTTTTTCAAGTTTTAATTTAATATTTTTAAACGTAATAATTTTGTTTTTCCTCAAAATTTTGTATCTTTTTTTAGCAAAAAACGAATCAGCGAATTTTATAAATTTTCTAAATCTTATACGAGAAATTTTAAAATAATACCATTAAATTAAATTTCAGAATTATAAATTACATGATTGATGAAAATATAAGTGGAAGTATTAGCATTTTAAGCATGCGAACAAATACGTCTCCCGGAAACCTCAGATAACTGAGCTGTCTTTTTGTCCAAATCACTCGTGGATCACGTAAACACACGCCAAGCGTAATTCCACTAATAACACCGCATACTGTAAGAGTTAACAAAATATTCTCCGGTAAACAGCGAGTCATCTCTTTCGTGAAATATTGTCACCTATAAAAAAAAAAAAAAACATTTGAAGATTTATAGTGAAAATTAACTTTATTTTAAGCAAATATAAATAAGATAAATATTATCTTTTTTTCTAATAAATATTATTTAATATCTCTCATTTTCAGCATTTTTCAGCATTTTATCGTCATTTTTTTAAAATCTATTCGAATCCACGAAATTACGCCTATTATTCCGTATACTATATAATTATTATAGTACATCGCTAATCAATTAATAAGGAACAAGCAAAAGCTTAATGGTGCAAAAAATTAATCAAAATTAAAAGTAAAAATTAATAAAAATTTAATAAAATTAAAATTTAGTGAAATTCAAAATTAAATTAAAATTTTAATATAATTAGAATTAAAAAAATAAATTTAATGAAATTAAATTAATTAAATTTAAAAAAAAAGCGAGAAATTTAGTTTAGCATTATTTGCAAATGTTCATAAATTATATTAAAAATAAAAATCATTATGCAAAAAAAAGAGCAATTGATAGTTAAAAAAATTAAATTTAAAATGGTTAATCTAAATTGCATTGCAAATTAAATAATTAATGCACATTGAGGTGTTCAGGTTAACCTAAAACTAATTCTCAAAGGTGATTTTTATCTATGGTACTTTTCATTTACTTTATAATGCTTTTTTTCAAGCAGTTCATTCATTCTTGAAGTAAGTTAAGCTTTAAAGATCAATGAGAATTAATTAATGTTTTAAAGATTAATGAGGAAAAACAAGAGAGAGAGGGTAACTTCATTTGAAAATGAACCATTAAGTACCACTCGTAATGTAGTTATGTAATTCGTTTGAAAAATATTCAAATTAATTTCTCAATTTTTTTGAAATCCTTCGCATATTAAATATTTATAAATTCTCTGAATAGAAAATTTTGCTCATTTTTCTAAGATTTCCCAGAAAAAATTTGAAAAAAAAACAAATTTAAAGTACTTTATTGACAAGATTAAACGATTTAATTGAAAGTAAAATTTTTCTTTTTTTTTCAGCTAAAATAATTCAACTATCATAGATTTTTTTCATAAAATTTATAACTATTTTCAAAAAGAAAAATATCGATAAAGTTTTGAAAATTTTCATGAATAATTTCAGAAATTCTCAGACAATTTACTTGGCAATATGGAAGAATAATAAAAGAAGTTTTTTCTCAAATATTTATAAATTTTTGTTAATTGGTTATCATTCACCATCATTCCTATTTTTGTCTCGTTCTACCTTGATAAATAATGCAAATAATGCAAATTCAAAAGCGGTATTATTCTATTACTATTTCGAATGCCTGGAAGCCTGCAAATCCGTGTGCAAATGCAAATCAATCGACCTTGAATACGCTGATGATGCAGTCCTTTTTGCTGACAGTTATGAGGAAATCCAAATAATGTTAAATAATGTGTCAACAACTGCAGCAAGAATTAGACTCAAAATCAATGTAAATAAGACGAAAATATTTTCGTCTTATATACAAGATGTTGATAAAATACCTATTTTTATTAATTCATTATCGGTTGAGGAAGTGCTCGACTTTAAATACCATAGATCCACTCTAATTCCAAATGTCCAGACAATGGATGAAATTGTAATCCGAATAAACGATAGTTTTCCGGTTAATGAAACCTCTTTAGAACCATTGCGAAATCGCTATAAAGATGAAAATCCGCATTCACATAGCTGCAATTCGCTCGATCTTGCTATATAGTTGCGAAATATGGCCAGTGAGAGTGGAAGATATTAGCCTTTGACCACTCCTATCTAAGATACATTTTACGGATCCGCCGAACAGATAAAATCGCACATGATTGTATCCATCTTCGTTCAAATCCCACCTGCCTTAATAATGTTATCACTTCTATTATTACTAGCGATGGCATCGGATCGAGCAGCTTGGAGTTGCCTTACTCTTATAGCCAGCGGAGCCAGCCTAGCCAGTAATTTTGAGAGCTTTTAGAAGAAAAAGTACCACGAAGCCTATTATTAAGAAATTTGCATTGAAAGCGAGCATTTCATGCTCTTCGCTATATGATTTTCTCGTAATTAAATTATCGCATGCATTATCAAAAAATTTTGAAATGCTAAAATAAAAAACGTTTGACGAGAAAAACCTTAAATCTTAAAAATACTTCGTCGAAAATTTATTTCACGCTTGCATTTCCATTAATATTCGTTCCATTAACGTGAATTTTAATAAAAAAGAATTAAAAAAATAAAAATATTTGGGCGGTGAAATTCATTGAATTCTTAATAATTAATCAATTGGCAAAAATATTTAATTCCTCTAAAATTCCACTTGAATAGCTTAAAAAAAAAATAAAAAAATTAAATAAAATTGCTTAACGCAAAGATTTATTTCAGCGATATTTCGGAAGTATTTAAGTTTTGCGAAATTATTTCGATAAAACTTTCTTTAAAGCGATTTATAAAGAAGAAGAATTGAGCGATTTTATGCCTAAAAATTAAAAAGAGCGAATTTTTTGGTTTCGATTTGCACCATTGGTTGATTATCGAAGCCAATTTAGTAGTTTCAGAATAGAATTAAAAAATATTGGTGAAAACCAAAAAGTCCATCAATTTTGGACTCCATTGACGAATTAGAAGAAATTTCATGAATTTGCTTGGGAAAAATTTAGATTTATAAGTTAAATTTAGATTTAAAGTTAGATTTATAAGTTAAGATAAATTTAGATTTAGATTTAGGTTTATAAATAAATTTTGTTTAAAATATGAAATTTTAGAATTTTTCTTCATTTTTATTTAATTAAGTTTAGCGGTAGCGAAACCGTTTTTACCAGTTGATTTCAAGAGTTGCCTTTCTGCCTTATTCCATTGTACTATTAGCAAATTAGAAAAGTACCAAAGATCCATAGATTTCGTGACGCTGCCAAAGGTAATCCATAACACGTAAAATCCTTGATGAACTAGCAATCCTAAGTGAATTTAAAGGGGAAAATACGCTGATCATAATTATGTATTAAGATGTGTTTTTGTTATGAGCCCATTTTAGCTAAAATTTAATTAGTCGCATGAAACTATTTCATCAATCTTCGATAGGTTTATTGCAGTTGATTGTTGCACAGAAGTATGAATTTTTAATAGCTAAAATCCTATTTCAAAAAAAAAAATATTCTCCAATAAAACTGGATTAATTCATTTAGGATTGCCTTTTTCAAACTGAGTGAGTGAATGTCCCTCTCCCCTCCTCTCCTCTTTCTCCTCCTTCGCTCTATGTGAATGCTGGAAGGGAAAGGACTTCTACAAATGTTTAAAAAAATATCTGAATTCATGCAAAAAATACAGGAGTAATATTTATATCTACGCTGTAGAAAAGGAGCTATGAGTACAATTTTTATAATTACCTATTGGTTGAAAAGGATATTTCCTGAGAGGAGGAAAAGAGGAGAGGGGAATATTCTTTAGTTGACTATTTTCCAGGAGTGCGCTGAAAAAAATTTACTTTGGAAAAGAGGCTGCGATAAACCAAAAGCGAAATTATATTTTTGGTAAATTTGGCAAAAAAAATTTGAAAAATTTCTGTTTTTGATGAAATTTCCAAAAATTTATTTTCAAAAATTTTAGAATCCAAAAAATTTTACCAGAAATTTTCTTAATTCCCGGAAAAGAATGATTTAAATGCAAACAAAAAATTTTATTAAAATTTTAATTATACTTTGAATGTTTGAATATTTTAGCTGAAATGTACTAAAAAAAAATTTTTGAAGTTTTTTTTCGAATCAAAAAATTTTATTCATAGAGAATTTAAAAATTTCGATTATCATAAATTTTGGCAAAAAAATATTTTACGTGAAATTTATGTGAAATATACGTGAAACTTTCTTTTTTGATGCTTTCACGTTATTTCGTAAAAATGACGGATTAATTCATTAATTTTTATAATTTTCACAGGATTCATATATTTTATATATTTAAAAAAAAACTATTAGAAATTATTGAAATTAATATTTTTCATCTAAATAAATAAACAAACAATTTTTTTTCTTATAAAAATTTTATTTTTCGGGAGAAATTTTAATTTTTTTAATTTTTAAAAAAATTTTAATTTTTTTATTTTACTATTTCAACTCGCATAGAACATTTGAAATTCGAAATTTTTCATAAAAATCCATTAAAAAAGAAATAAATTGAATTCCAATTTCGCTCATTAAAAATTCGTTGTCGTTTCAAATCAGTTTTATGAATTTTCGATGTTCAAAAAGAATGAAAGCATTAGCATTAAATATATTTTTCACATTATATAAGTATTATGAATTATGAAAATCGTAAATTTCAATAAAATTTTAAATTTTAAATTGAATATTTTAAAATAAAATTGCAAACCTATTTCATTTCATAAATTTTAAATAAAAACAAGTAAAAATTCATTTTTCTTATTCATTTTATAAAAATATTAATTCATAAATTTAAAAATGTTAATTTTTTAAAATAAATTTTTTGAAATAAATTTTAAAATAAAATTTAAAAAATGAAAAAAAAAATTATTAATGCGCATTGTTACGTTCGAGATTGTACTGATGATGATTTTATGTTTTGGATTATTCGATTGAGGCTTTTATAATGAAAAAAAAACCACACAACAGATTTTTGTTATTTTAAGATTTTTCGCCAAAAAAATGCAAAAGAATGACTCTTAATTTTATATTATAGTTGGTTTATTATAATATTATTATAATTACTCATTATAATTTAATAATAATTAAACTATAATAATAATATTATAATAATAAATAAATAATATAATAAAACATTAATAATACAATATTAATAATATTAAAAAATTATTAGAATAATTGAATTAAAATTTTCCTACGATAAATAAAATCCTGGCGATAATAAATTTATTTTTTAAAAGCTTTTTCATATCTATTTTCATATATTTTCGCGCAAAAAAATTTTAAAAAATTAAATTAAATAAATTTGAATTAGAGAAATATTTTATTTATGAAGGGAATTTATGTGTGCAATATCAATATAAATTTTTAATTAGTCGAACTAGAAATTTATTAAATTTATTGAAAGAATTTTAGAAAATAGAAATCTAAAGAATACTGCTAAAAAAAAATAAATAAATTTCCGCAAAAATAACAAAAAATTTTATTATAAAAATGATATTATTAGTTGAAATATTCGAAAAATTCATCTTCTTCCGTTCCACAATCAAAAAAAAAAATACACAAAAAATTAATATTTCATATAAATTATAAACCTCAATTAAATAAGGCAAATACAAAGGCAAAGACGATCTCTAGACGGATTTTTTATTTAACAACTCAATTATATTTCCAATGAAAAATTATAAACAAAGAAAATGGTCTTTGCATTATTTTCGATTTATAATTGAGAAAAAAAATTAGAAAATTTTTTTAAAATTTATTCTTGAAAATTTCTTGAAAATTTTACTTAGCTTTCCATGTGTTCTGCAATTTTCTCGCAATTTTCTTTCATCAACTTCAACAAGCAAAAAAAAAAAAAAAAAATTTAATCCAACTCCAGATGAATGATTGATAAAACAATAAAAGACGCCAATATAAGAATATTCCGTTTCCTCTTGAGAATGCAGAAAAAAGGAAATATATAAATGATAATGCCTAAGAGGTTGTTGGAAGCGCCATTTAAAAAGAAAACTGAAAAAAAAATTTGGTTTAGAAAATGTATGAAAATTCCTATGGAAGATGGGATATTTGAAAATGTTTGATATGTAAATACGAATAAGTAAAGACAAATCGAAGAATTCAAAGAAACCTTTCATTTAATCGACATTTGCGATGCAAAAATGAAGTCAACCATATTAATAACTGAAAAAAAAAAATTATTAAAAAGTACTCAATGAATAGAATAGAATTATTTAACGAAAATTTAAAAAGATCCACTTTATTCTGCGATCAATAATTGCCTTTTAAATTATTTTATTCATTGTTGCTTATCGTTCAAAAACATAAACATAAATTTTAACCACCAAAAATAAAGTTATTATAGAAAAATCTGCAAATAACCTTATGAATCAGTGCCAAAGAAAGGAATAGGTAACAAAAGAAAAACGCTATGAAAAGACAATTTACATCCATGAAAAATTAAAGCAAACATTTCGATAACCCGTTGAATATTAAGTCAATAATAATAATTATACTGCAGCATGATGGCCGAAAGCAATTTGGTTTCGATTCTCGCTCCCAAACAGGAGTATATGCCACTACAAGTGGAATTTGACTGGCGCTAAGGATCTAACTGTACTCGCACTTTCCAGTGATTCTCTAGCGAAAGAGTTTAGCCGAAGTAGATGATGCGTACTATTAGAAAAAAATTAAGCTATTCCCAAAAAATATTTATGTTTGATAAAGCGTATTTTAAATTCTGTTGCAAATTGGCAATATTGACTTAAATGCTTCTTTCATAAAAAATATATTATGAAGAAGGCAAATTTTTGATAATTTTTTGATACACAAAAAGAAAAAGTTGAAAGTAAAAAAAATAAGAAATACCTTCACTTATATCACAAACACGTAAAAAAAATTCAATATAAAATCCATTTGATCAAATTACAGCACTTAAAAATTTAATTATTTGAGCAAAACTTGAAGACTACTCATCGGACTTCTAAGACAATTTACAAGTCATTCAATCTTTATTATCGACAACCTGAAAGGTACAACAAAAAGTCAAATAAATATAACTACGTGCAAATTGAATTCGAAATATGAAATTTCAAGATAAATAGTAAAATCTTTAGTAATCAATTTTTTCGTAAAATTTATTAATTTTTTAAAACTATGTGCAAAAAGCAAAAAATATTTCCTGAGCAATTAAGTAATCAATTTTTAAATTGTAAAAAAGTTTAAAACAAATTAAAATAGAATTAAATTATAAATTATAAATCAAAAAAGGAAAGAAGAACCTATCTTACATAAAAAAATGTAAATTTTAGCGAATCGCTGTGTATTACACGACCCATTGATTCGAGAACGACTTACTCTCCCAAAATATTTTGAATTGTATGCGTGAACGACGATTTAATTTCAGTTGAATTTCGATTATGTTTTGGGAATAATTTTGAAAATAAACCAGATTCGAAGCATACGGATCCCTGATTTCTTATTGGCCAATATCTTATTGGCGAACGCTTGGCTTATTAAAGTATCAGAAATAGGTTAACATCACTCAAAGCATGAGATGAATCACATGATAAGATAATCTGCAAAAAAATTAAGTAATTTTATTAAAAATGAAAAAATTAAAAAATTAAAAAATATTAAAAAAATGAACAAAATAAATGGAAAAAATCAACTGATCAGTCTTAAAAAAGAATTGATAATTTGATTTCAAGATATATTAGAAACGTCATATCTACGATTAGTCGTACGAAATGATTACTTTTCATTCTTTTCACCTTTTTTCCTAATGAATTCTCGAACAAAAGGCAAAATCTCAAGGACTAAATCATTTTTACTATCGATAAATATAACTGCACAATTATATTGCATATTTTGGAAAAAATTCAACCAATTATCGAGATCATCGATACAGGGATGATAACTGCTTTTGTTCCCCAAATAAATATACTGCCACCAAGAAGAAGTTTGCATTATTTCAATTTGTCCATCACCAGCTACTAAATCTAAACGACCGATAACTTCTGACAACTGATTTAAAGCTAATTTATCTTCCAATTCCTTTTCCTGAAATTCCATAATATTTCTTCTATTCTTTTGGTATAAAATTTTAAATGATATTTAAAATAAAGTTTAGAATAAAATCTTTTTAGAAACAAGGGAATTATAAATTCTAAGTAGAAAGGTAAATAAATGAACCGATATATAAAAAATAAACAATGCATCAAATAAATACTGATTTACTCGAATTTGTTCTCATAAATCCAATTTGAAAGCTACAACAGCCATATATCCAATAATACTGCATCATATTATAATATTGCAATTTTAAATTGATTTTAATCGTGAAAGATTTTCAAATCTTTAAACACTAAAAGAATGCACGCGTTAAATTAAAAACAGTTCATAAAATTTTACAGAATTATAAAAAATAAAGTATTTCTTTAATTTTTACCACTTGTTTTGAAGAATATTTTATATTATATTTATTATAGAATATATTTTTTAAAATAGATTTTTATACATTGGCAAATTCCTAGGCTTTATGATTCAGTAACTTTAATCGTTTTGAAACTGATAGGAAATCAACTAATCAATAGAATAGAAGAATGGAAATTATATTTTTTTATAATAAAATAACCAGAATAAAATGTGTTATCACAGGCAAAAAATGAAAAATTTCAAAAAAAACAAACTAAACAAGTGAAACAAGTCGATGGGAAATAAGAATTTTTTTTTTGCAAACAAAAATTCAAATTTAAATGAATGAAATTGAATTTATGACCACTAAACTATCGTTTAAATATAACATCCAACATCCTCTCCGGCTTGGATCCACATTAAGAGAAATATTATTAGAATTTTCGTTACATCAATCTTTTAATGATGGAAAAATAACTTTTTAATCCAATAGATGAAATATTTAGAAAAAAAAATGAATAAGAGAGATCATGTACTACAAATGCTGGAACGAAAACGAAACGATCAAGAGCAGAATTTCCAGCGAAATTTTCTTTCACGATTGGTTTATTAACCATTCTTAACTGACCAACAATAAAGAAAAAATACGGAAAAATACTTCATAAATAAATGAAAAAATATGAATATGACTAACACCAATCGAATAAGGACTCCTTTTTTCTATATTCTTCTGTTCTTCTAATGACGTTTAGAAAGCAGTTTTTGAATTTTTTAACAAATTTTGCATTTGCCTTAGAAATCTCATTTCTAAATCACGCGATTCTATAAACAGAAATTTGCAGTTATAATACTTTTTTTCAAAAAAAAAGTTGAATGAAAATAGATAAACTAACAAAACTCAAAAAATTAAAAATTATATAATTGATCATAATTATTATTCTTATTTATTATTATTGCAGAAAATGATTGTTAATTTTTAAACAACAGTGAAATCATATTTTATATTTCTCGATTATAAATTATAAATTATATTTTAAATTTATTTTATACTTTATAAATTATATTTCTCGATTTTTAATTACTAACCTTAAACTTTTCAGTACTTTTATAACTTTTCAGTTATATATTTTCAGTAAGAAATCACTGCAAATAACTTTCGCAAAAGTAACTTTCATTGAACGAATTAAAATGTTAAAAATCGAATCAATAAAATCGAATATTTTTATGTTCATCTTTTTCGACATCATTTCCATGATTTGATCTAATTCTGCAGCAGTCTTCAATCTTTATCTAAATGATGGAAAAAAGCTTCATCATAATTTTTTAAAAGAGAAAGCTCTTAAAATATTTCGAGGATCATAAATTATTGCGGACATAAAAAAAATTGACAAAATCGCATAAAAAATTTTAAAATCATTCTCAATAGTTATAAACCAAATAAATTTAGGAATGAATAAGAATAATTAAATATCAATAAATATCAATATGAAATATATGAAAATATCGATGAAACATTACCTTCTTCATTTGCGAAATGTTTAGTAATCCAGGAAAAGAAATAACCGAATAAATTCTCTTCAATTTTTAAAAAACTTCTATCATATCATCTTTTACCTAAAGTAAAATAAACAATATGAAACATAAGAAGCCTCTAAATAACAAACTAAGATAAATTTTCAAAAAAATCGAATAATTTACAAATTGAATAACATTAAAATATGATGCAATATCAAGTTCCAATATCAATGAGCAAATATGGAAATTGATTGCGGAAAATGGCATATATTCGAACATTCACATACCATTAAAATCATAGGTGAAAATCTACCAAATTATTCAGTAAGAAATTGTTAGCTTTTATGAGAGAGTTCGCTTTATCCAATATTGTTGGTCTGCAAAAATATACTCATAAAATAATTTGAAATATTTATAAGTTTCAAAATTGCGAAAAAGCAAAGATACAAATAAAAAGAAAATAAATAGGTAAATCTTGGTTAAGAATAAAAAAAATATGAAACAATATAAAAAACTATTTAATACAATAGATTTAAAAAGCAGAAAACCATTAAAAAGTAGATAAAAATTAGAATTGTACATATTAACATCTTACGTGATTTCCACTGCATCAGTAATTGTATTCATTTATTTTTCAGAAGCAATTGGGAATATATCAAAAAATGCAAACTTCTTTCAAGAAAATATATTTCTTCCAAATCAATCCTGTTAAACCAGATGTTTCATATAAATTGTTTCATCCATTATTTAAAAAAAAAAAAAAAAACAATGAACAGTGTTTATTATTCAGTGCTGTTGTTTCTTGCATTGTAATCCTACAATAATTTTCAACAAAGATATATTCGAAAAATAATGTGAAAATTTAAAAAAAAACAGAAAAGTTCTGGAAATAAACGTTTTGAATTCGATACCTTTTCAAAGAAATATTTCATCAAATGAATTTGAATATTAAAATGTTAAATATTAAAATTAAAATATTAAAATATTAAAATTTGTATTGAGTAAATGATGGTCAGTGTTTTCGAATTGAAATTTTAAAAGTTATTTTCAAAAAAAAATTTGAAAAATAGAAAAAATATCAGAAAAGAATTACCAGCAATTGAGTTCTTTTCTGAGTTTTTGAACGAGGAATTTTTAATAAATATTCTTGCGATTCTTATAAGCAAGGATTCAATATTAATAAGCTTGAACTTCCTTAAATTTGAAAATATCGCCATCAGCTGCATTGCATTATCTCTGCTATTCATTCTACCTAAAATCGAGAAAAATTTGGAAAAAAATTATTGAAGAAATATTTCTAAGAATATTTTTGAACAACAGAAAACCTATATAAAAGAATATTTAGTCAAAACAGCGAGCGTACTTCTCAATTTTCCCCTTGAAGCCCTTTGATACCTTTCAAAAAAACTTATTATATTTTCGCAAATCAGCTTATAGTGCCTTGAAATCTTTTTCTGCATTGCAATGCTTCGTTGTTAAAATTACCAAAGTTGCCAAAATCAAGGATTAGTCGAGCCGAATAAGAAAATCCAATACTCATCTTCTTTTCCCATCCAATACTCTCTCTAAGCTCATGTATCCTATAAATCGGACGCTCAAAATTTCTTCTGATGTCGATTGTTGATTGTTTCTCTACGTTTTTGACGATCGCAAGGATTGGTAATATCAAAATGCGGCAAATTCTTCCAAATTTCAAACAATACGCCTTAATTAACGATTAATAAATGAGATTCTATCCACTCGATGAGCAAGTAAAAAATATGAATGGTCTAAGGTAGATGGCTTCTTAATATCTTCCACTCTCACTGACCACTGACCACATCAAATAGATATCGCTGGATAGATGCGAAATTTTCTTCTAATTTTACAATTTCGCGAGATGGAAGGATATATATTTTCTGGATGCGCTTGTCAGGAATGCTTAGCTATTTGGTATAATAATGAAGCAAAGATATTTTTGAAACCTGGCAGCTCGTCATGAAAAATTTGATAAAACTTTGAAAAATTTGATAAAAATTTGATAAGAGAGCGATTAGAAATTAAAACATCGCTACAAACAAATTAACTATTAATATTACTAACAATTATTAATATTACTAACATTTTATTAAATATTAATATTAATAATAAATAATATATTAAAAATTGTAAAAAATATTTGAAAAATCTCGAGAAATAATAAATAAAAAATTTAAAACGCCAATAAGTAATTAATAATCGAAAAGTTGAAGTTCGGTTTTAACTGAGACTTCGTCGACCGAGATTTTCACCGCCAAGGAGATTTTTGGTATTACCTTAGCATTCTACGTACCACACCAACCACCCATTCACCAACACCTTAATTCTTTTAAAATGTCCACCATCAGAAGAACGACAAAAAACTTGGCGCTGAGCCAGAAAAATTTACATTTCGGTAAAAACGCGGTCGCGGCCCATATTATTTCAATCAAATCTTATAATTATTAATCAAATAAAAATTTGTGATTCATTTAATCAAATAGAAAATTTTATGATTTTATTTATGTTTTATGCTTCTTAAAAGTCAAATATTTTCATTGGCGACGCAATGAGAAACATAAATTTTATGGAATTTTTCTCCTTTTTACATTCTCCTTTTCATTGTTTGATGTTTTTGTTTTTTTTTTAAATTATTTCAAAATTTGAAATAAAATTTTAATAGTTCTTAAAATTTTTTATTATTAAATTTTAATCTGATTTCGAATTTATTATTTTTCTTATTCGCTTAACATATTTTGCTGAAATAAAAATATTTCAATATTTTTTACATTCGAAAATCGAAATTCGTAGATTTTTTAAAAAAATTTTATCTTTTTTTATGCATCGGTATCAAATTTACTATATATAATATTCGACAAATATCGTAAATAAATGAAAATTTAAGAATGCGTTCAATGGGCCGTATTATCGAATTTAGGTCGCGGCCCAGTTATTTTCTAGGTTCTGACCTAATTTGTTTTTTTTTTTTTTGCTCATCTAAATTTATGCATTTATTATTTATATGCTATTATTTTTCCTTTTCTATTATTTATTACTATTATTTCGTTATTTTTTAAAATTGCTTAAATTTAAATTTTTATTTATTTGAAACCATTTTTAAAATTTTTTAAAAATTCTAAACTATTTGATTATTTTTATTTTTTATTTCTTAAGATTATTTTCATTAAAATTGTTTTTTTAAAATTCTTAAGGAATTTTTGAAAATTATTTTTGTTGTTTTTGTTTATTTTTATTGAAAAAAAGGTGAAAAAAATTTCACTGGAAAAATTTAATTTGTTAATTAAAGATAATTTTTTTTTTTAATTTTTGACGGGAACAGAATGGCTCGTTGGGTTGTGTTGTTGCTATCATTTCGGAGTACCAATACTAGAATTTTACTCGATCAAACTTTCCTGTCTTCAAAAAATGCTAGTTGTGCTAGCGACTCATCTGTACTCCTTTTCTAAAGTGGTCCTAATGGTCCAGTTTGTCCAGTAGTGGTCCAATTTGATACGTCAGTGAAGCGATTTCAACTATAAATAAGCGCTAATTAAGTAAACTAAGTTTATAATTGGATTATACTCATTAACATCGAAATATTAAGCAGTGTTGAAATATTTTTAGTTGCAAATAAGAAATAAAAATTAATAATATTAATAAAAAATAAGAAATAGAAATTAATTCGAACTAATTTCAATAGAATTAAAGAACTTACATGCGATAAATGTTGTAAAAATTTTAAAAAATTTCGCAACTTCAAAATAAATTGCGAAATTTATTTTTTTCATTTATCATATTATCAGTTGCTATCAGCATGTTATCAGTTTGATAATTTATGGTTTATATACAGTTGAATTTTTTTTATCAATTTATCTCTATTTAAAATATCATTTTTTTCATTTCTAAAAACTTTAATTTAATTAAAATTCAATTTAATCTAATTGAAATTCAGCTAAAATATATAAGTGTTGCATGAAAATTGGAATTTTCTTTAAAATTTAAAAGTTTTTAAATTCTATTAAATTTATATTTTTGCAGATATTATAAATTATGACTGAGTCGCCAATCTCTTTGTTAGATTATGCAATTTTTTTATTCAGTTTATTTCTTTCAATTGGTACTGGAATTTATCAGGCGATTAGGTACGATTTATATTTTTAAAAAAGAGGTTTTAAAAAGTATTTTTTTATATTTTTATTTTTTTATATTGTTTAAACTATAAACTTAAATAATGCTCAAATTGATTTTTTGAATTTAAATTTAGAAATTTTTTAAATAGATTCATTTGAGTTTTAGGCGTCAACTACCTTATAACGATTCACGAATGAAAATTTCGCGAAAAGATGAATATATGATGGGTGGAAAGCAATTACCACCAATACCTGTTGCATTGAGTTTATTAACGACTTATTTGTCGGGAATTTTAATGATTGGTTTTCCTGGTGAAATATTCGAACGTGGTATGCTATTTTTTTTTTCCTTTGCTCTTTTATTTATTTGGTACTTCTATTGAGAAACTATAAGAATTTGTCGCAACTGATCTATTCTTAGCCACACTTTATATATATTGCTTCATATCTGAGGTTGACTCGATTCCTTTTGTCTTGAGGATAGTAATTCTCATTTAGGTCCACAAATTTGGCTGAATTCAATAATGGGAGGAATTGCATCTATTTTAACGGCAATGTTCTTTCTACCGATTTTCTATAAGATGCATGCGACATGTCTTCATGAATATTTTGAGCATCGGTTATCTTTATTTCGATTACAAATGCAATTAATTCAATTTATAGAATTTACTTTTTCATTATTTTAGGTTCCATTCTGTGCTCATTCGTCGGACCTTTTCAGCTTTGTTTCTTCTACAGAATATTTCTTATATGGCAATAGTTATATATGCACCTGCCGTAGCAATTGCTAGCATTATAGGTGTTCATAAATGGATTCTTATTCTGGTATTTTCTATTTTCTATTTATTTATTGTTCTATTATATGTTAAATCTTAAATTATAGTGAGCATTTAAATATAAAGTTCTTTGATTTATTGCTACGAAAGATTTTTTAGATTTTTGGTTTAAGCGCGACTTTATATACAACGATCGGTGGACTGAAAGCTGTTGTATGGACGGATTCTTTACAAGTATACTTTTTTTTCCATTATAAAAATTTATTCCATCCGGACATATCATTATGCACTCATAAATTACAATCGCAAATCTGAAATTCCCAAAACTTGCATTGGTGCAAGTTAACCGATACGTCTTTGGGAAACAATTGAACATTTTATCAACTGGATATTTGCATATGGGTTAAGATAAATCAGAAAAAATTAGTATCTTACACTAAAATTCATCTTCACTCAACCATCGATGCCACTCAAATCCCCAAATTCTTACTAGTCTTCCTATTATGGCATTTTTTATCGGCATCGAAGCAGTGCACTTTAAAATAGACTAGAAAATAAAAAAGCTAGAAATGTTTTGTAAACAAAATATATCTATGTCAGATTAGTAGAGATAAATCTTGTGGAAAACAGTTGTGAGTTCATTTTGTGTGATATAAAGTTGGGTAGGATTCGAAATTGTAATCTGTATTGTGACCAAATTTATGCTGCACTATGTATATATATATATATATATTTGTATGCTTAATAGTATAGAAGAGTAGATTTAGGATGATTTAATTTCTAGGCTGTTATGATGTATGGTGGTGTTTTTGCGTTAATTTATAAAGGGCTAACAAATCCTCGTGTCAGAGGTTTTATTCATCCATGGAATCTTGCTTATAATACAGGCAGAATTACGGAATTATGGAGGATAAATCCAACAATCGCTCAAGTAAGTTTTAAGCACAAATAGATATTTTTAAATATCAGACGCATATTAAACCTTTTTCTTTTCAGTATAATAGTTTATGGATTAATCTTATCAGTGGGACAGTAATATGGCTTGCATATTTTGGTTTTAATCAGTTGGCAGTTCAACGTTATTTATGTTTATCAAGATTATCTGATTCGAAAAAAATCATTTATGCTATGATATTGCCCTATGTGATTCTTTGCAGTATCGTATCATTTACAGGATTTATGATTTTAGCTTACTACTTCAATTGTAATCCTTTGGAAACTGGTCAAGTACAAAATATTGATCAATTGACCGTGCTTTTTGCTAAAGAAATACTTGGTTTGATTTTTTTTTTTCAAGTAGTAGGCAATTTTTTCCCTTATATCTTGCTGAATTCTTTATTATTCAAGGCTTTTTTTATGGTTTATTTTTCATTCTTCTTTCAGAATTTTGATTTTCTTTCAGAATTTTATTATTTTGAGTATCGTATTTTTCTTTTTTTTATTTTTTTTGATTTTTTTTAATGAATAAGTTTCAGTGCCTACGCCAGGTTTGCTTGGTTTATATGTTTCATGTATAATGTCTGCTACACTTAGTACATTGTCATCTGGTATAAATAGTATGGCAGCGGCTTTATATGAAGATTTTTTCAAAAAGAACCTAGTTGGACGTATCAGTGATGTCAAGGCAACTAACATCAATAAAGCAAATTATTTTCTTCTTAATGAAATTTTTGGTTTCTTAATTTCTCTGTATTTTCATTGCCCTGTGTAATAAAATCTAATAAGTTAATAAAAGCAATTTCAGACCATTGTTTTGGTTATCGGAATATTGTCTACGGGATTGGCATTTTTAGCTGAACCGCTTGGAGGAATTTTACGAGTATGTTTTTTGTTCTTGAAAATTTTTTGGTGATTTTAAGGTTTTGCGTTGAATTTATGTTACAATAAATAAATTTAGATGTGTATCAACATATTAGGCGCCCTTTCGGGTCCATTTGTTGGCATTTTCATACTTGCCATGTTTTGGCCAAAAGCAGGATATAAGGCAGCTTTTTTCTCACTCATTATTTCAAGCATAATTATGGCTATCATTTGCTCCATAAATTATCTTGAAGATCCGTATTCGCAGTATTTTTTAATAACAAATTCTACGTTAGTTTTAAAATTTATTATATGTGGGTAAAGTATGTCATTTACTTATGATTTATGATAAAATTTATGATAAAATTTTTTAACATTATCTAAAACACAGAATATCAGTATAAATGCAGTCGAGCTTTCTTCCTCTATCAACCAATTAATCTCATGAAAAAAATTAGATAATTTAGGTCAGAAGGCTGTAATGGTATGAATTTTACTGGAAGAAAAATGGTTGACTATGATGCCCATTATGGAGATCCAGATTCTTCCTATATCGCAAGGTTTAGAAATTATTTCTTCCTTTTCCTTATTAAATCTTTTTTCATTTTTCACTATAATTACAATTGTTTGTTTTTAGTGTTATTTTGATATCCGTAATTTTTCTTTCTAACAATTTTTTTATTTATTCTTTAGAATTTATTCTATTACCTTATTTATTCTTTAGAATTTCTACTTTTGCTTACCCCATCATCGGTTTATTAATCTTGCTTGGAATTGGAGTGCCATTAACATATTACTGGGATGAACAAGATCCTGCAAAAATAAAACATTTAACATTTTATGGAAGAAAGTTTGTCTTTTTTTTGGTGAAATGAAAAAATAATAAAATATAGATAACATATTGTTTAATAATAATATCATAATAATAATGTGAGATAAATGCATTTTTTAAGTTTGCCTTGGCCAAAAGGAAAGCATATTGATCTACCTGAATTTATTACCAGATGTGAAATCAATGAAGGATTCGATGAGAAAGATGTATAAAGATGTATCTTTTATTACTATTATTGAATTAATTATATTTGAAGTTCCCATATAATGACAGAAATAGCAGGATTGCCATTATTTTTTCTTATGAATATCCCTTAGATGGAATTGAATCCAAAACAGTTGGCAGTCCAAATTTTTTGTTATATGAATTAGCTCGCTTATTACTTGGGATAAGGCATTGAGGATGTTTTTCCGCTTGGAACTCATGTACAATTTTATTTTTAATTATAATTATAATTATTTTGTCATTGTTATCAAACGAAATATATTAATATAAATATATAATTAATATATTAATTAATTAATATAAATATATAATTAATATAATTATATTAATTAATATTAATTAATATTATTAGTATTAATATAAGTATATATAATGTATATTAATAATATTATATATAATATATATATATATATAATATATGATATATAATATAAATATTTTTTCAAAATATATTTCTAATAGATTTCTAATAGATGTTACCATTACTGGTTAAATTGGCTTTACTGACTACAAGGTTATGATATTTTTAAGCTGTTCGATACGTTACCATCGCTTACAGTAATAGAAATTATTTCTTTTTCCATCGTTGAAATTCTTATATATCGCTGGTACACCAATAGTTTCAAAAATTTTTCCTGATTATATTCAATCAAGGTCTTGATTGATCCTCTTCGCTTTTGACACCATTAATCGCAAATAGCGAACCAACGACTGTGGTGGGCGACGAAGAACACTTCCCAACTAGTAAAGGCGGTACTCTCTAATGATTTTGTTAATACACATGGTATTTGAGCGAAGATGCAATCATGTGGGATTTATCCGCTTGGCGAAACTCTGCGAAAATTTTAAATATCAGTGGTCAGAGGTAAATAACTTAATATTTTCCACTCTCATTGGCCATTTCTTCCAGCCATATATTAAGATTAAGCGAAGCAAGCAGCTGCTTGCTTTTCTTTTTTATGTTTTTATAATTTCGCGACAGCTCCGTCGGTAACAGAAAGAACGCATTGGCCATTTGGGTTTAGATCCAAGGCATTTCAATTCCGGCACTAACTCAACCATCGATGAATTTATTAAAATATGCTTTTTATCAGCTTCTTTTATATAAGACAAAAAGACTTTCGCTTCATTTACATTTATCCTAAGTGCGATTCTCAGTTGTTGGCACGTTGTTTAGCATTATTTGTATTTCGTCATGTCAAAAAATAGGGCTATGTCAGTGTTAGGAGTCTGCTCTGAATTGATTTTCACACCTCTGCCGTCCGTTATCTAGTATATCGTAAAGTTGAATATTGTAGGAGAAAGAACGCAGCTTTTGCGGACATCTGTTCTTATTTCCGAAGAACCTATTAGTTCCACATATGCCGTTATGCCGTTGTATGCTGATAAAACGCCTTTATGGATCGAATGGTTCTTTTCTTTGGAACACCGTCAAATTCCATCATCCTCCAAAGCGCAGTTATATAAATTAAAGTGAAGACAGCTGCAATATTGAGGAAATGAGTGGCCATGGATTGCCGATATTTGAAGCTATAACAGCTTTTCCTTCTAAAGTGAATATTTACTTACATCCTCGCTCCTATCTGAATCCAGCTTGACCATTTTGCTGTCTCATATTGCCATAAGTCTATTCAGTAAAAAGGTAGCAAAAATTTTTTCTGAATGTCTAGTGGATTAATTTCTCGGTAATTGTCGGAGTAGATCTTGTCATCCTTCCTGGAATGTATGGACAGAATTAATCATCCTCCAAAATGCAGTTATATGGCATTATTTCTTCCATAGAGAGTATATTTGAAAAAAACTATGCGTTATCAGAGAAAAAAAAGGACGATGGATAATATTTGAAGATTTCGGCCCGAAGACTGTCTTCTCTAGGAATTTTATTTGGCTTTAAGCTTTTGTACTAAAATATTGCTGAATGTTTCTTGTTGCTTTTAATGTATAATATTTTTAAAAATGTTGCTTTTTTAAAAAAAATAATATTATACATTTTTCGTTTCTTGATTTTAATTTTTCAATTACGCGATAATATTGTTGTAAAAATATTTTGTTGACAATAATTGTTGATAATTTTTAAAAAAATCTTTTTTGTAAAATTATTTTGATAATCCGATCTGATTCATTGTAACATCAATTACCATTTCACTTCATTATTCAACTATTTCAATTTCTTTGTAAATTTCACCTTTTCTCGATCTCATTTTTTTGTTGAAAATCAGTTCATTTTTTTTCAAAATTATATTTTTTATTTTGTTATATTATTTTATATTTATATTTGTCTTAGTGATAGTGACTATATTTAACTTTATTATTTTAATAATTTCTTCATATTTTTAAAAATTGTTTTAAAATGATAATTTGTTTATGAAATTGTGAATTATTTGTTCGATGAAAATGCGAATTATATAATCAGTTTGAAAAATTTTTTAAAAAATAAAAATTAAAATAAATTGGCATGAAAATTGATACAACAATTTGTTATAGGAACATTCATTTCATGCATTTTATATAAAATATTTTATATAAATAAAATAAATAAAATTGAATAAATATAAATTATATATAAATAAAATTGAAACTAATTAATGAAATTTTTTTTTTTGTAAATTCATTACCTGTTATAAATTCATTGTAAATTCATTGAGGAAGTGCCCGATTTCAAACCTTGGGTCCACTCTAATACCAAATGGACAGGCAAAAGATGATATTATAACTCTGATCACGGCAGCTAGAAATGCGTTCCGGTTAAAACCTTTATGGAATCGTCATGAAATCACCATAAAAATAAGAGTTCGCATCTATATTGCCGTGATTCGTTCGATCTTACTATATGGTTCTGAGACATGGCCAGTGAGAGTGGAGGATATCAAGAAGTTATCTGTCCTTGACCACTCTTGTCTACGGTACATATTACGGATCCGTCGAGCAGATAAAATATCACAAGATCTTCGTTCAAATACCATTTGCATAAATATTGTTATCACAGAGTGTCGCCTTCGCTGGTTAGGGTATATTCTTGGTCGTCCACCACAGGAGTTGATGCATATTTCGCTATTTGCTAAACCATGTGACGGTTGGCGTCAAAAGCGAGGTGGGCCAATCAAGACCTGGACTGATACGGTGAGAAAAGATTTTGAACGTATAGGTGGACCAGCAATATATGGGCTTAGACCATGGAAAAAGGAATGGCTTCCATTACTGTCGACGATGGCATCAGACCGCACCGCTTGGAAGCCCTTGTAGCCGTTGAAACCAGCCTAACCAGTAATGGTGAGAGCTATTAGAAGAAGAAAAATGAAATAGATGGAGCAATGAGAAATGGATCTCTAACTATTTTAACGGATTTTCGTAAGTTTTTAGCAAATACAATTTTCTTTAGAAATTTATCCAAATTTATTATTTTAGAATTTTCATTTATAAATTAAAAAATATTCTGGAATTTGTGTCAGCAAATATAAAATCCTATCACTTTTCCTGATCAATCTGAAATCATCTTTTAATCAGCTTTCACAGCCTTGTAACTCTTCAACTGTTCATCTTTATGAAGCAAATCTTTACAAATCACGGGAAATCAGTGTAAGGGATATTTGAATATTTTCAATAATATTTAATTGTAAGAATAACAAAGATTACAATTATCAGCACACAATGATAAAGTGCACTAACGATTGATATAGATTAAAAGTGAACATTTATCTTTTATCTTGCTAAAAACTAATAGGAATAAAAATTGATATTTATATATTTATTAATTTTATAATTTTTCACCCGTATAGTTTATTTTCTACAGAAATAAAATCTATTAACAAATTATCCAAACCAATATTTTATTCAATATTTTATGCCCATAAAATTATTGATAGCAATCAAATGATAATATTATTTATGATATTATTTAAAGTTCACATAATGCAGGAAGTGTGAAATCTCGATTGTTACCATCCGATTATAGTTATTTCGAATTGTACTATATTATATTATTCTGCAATATCCTCTTTATTTCATCTTTAAATTGTTTATTTTATTTTAATATTATTATTAGTTTTTTTATTTATCATTAATTCTTATTATTTGTTGTTTTAACTGTTGTTATTAATACGAGCACATGGCGTTTGCACCCTGCTTGGCTGGTTTAGTAGACTTTCTAACACGAGAGGGGTGACAACCATTGGGCCTTAAAATTATTTCTTATTCGGTTTTAACAGATTTCTATTGCAATCGACAAATTTCTTATCAAAGTAATCATTGAAATAAGTGAGCTTCGTTAGAAATTTTATTAATGAAATTTTATCTTTTAAGAATGAAATATTTCTCGAAAATGAAATGAGACAACAATTCTAAAAGAATATTAGAATTTCTTTTTTTTAGTAAAAATTTTAGATTATATATAATTTTCAAACTTTTATATATGTATTTTTATATTATTTATGGTTCAAAAAATTTTTTAATTTAAAATTCGTCTATAATTTCGATTTTTTGTTTATTTTTTATCAAGAAATTTTTAGAAATTTTATTCGTAAAATCCTTTTTCATTTTTACTATAAATATTTTATTACCTCATTTTCAAGAAATAATTGATTCTAATAATTCATTTTTACTAGTTTTATGATTAAATTTTTGAATTTCGATTAATTTAAATATATTTAAATATTTATTTAAAAAAAAACATTTTCCATTTTAATTCAATTAATTCAGTTGCATCTTCACATATTGTATTTTATTTTATATTTATTAAAATATTTTTTGAAAAAAAAGAACTTTGGAATTTTTTTTTACAAAATTAATAAAAATTAATGAATTTTTCATTGATTTTTTTGTCGATCATTATTGATTTCGAATTACTTAAATATTATTGATAAAAATTTTTATATTTTTCGCTGAATTACTCTATTCACACATTTGAAATAAATTATTTGATAAGAGAGTGATATTCAATGAAAGGTTTCTCTTTTTTTTTTCAATGATTTGTTCCTTTTTTTTAAAAAAAATTTAGCTTTTGATTGTGGATTGAAATGAATAAAATTTACTTACTTTTGGACCCAAAATTTTGCAAAAGCCAAATTGCTTGGATGTTTGATTGAAATTTTCTTTGATCTGAAAAAATTCGATCTGAAAGGGGTGTATATTTTATTGGAATTTTGATGAATAGGACAAGTTCAAACGACAGTTGTTATTCGACTGATGACATGCTTTCTGATCTTTTTAACTTTTTTTTCTTATTTCTAAAATTTTATTTTTGCTTCGATCTTTGATAGATATCTTAAGTTGATAGATATTTGAGTCGTATTAAATTTAATAAAAAAATTTAAAAAAAGAAACGAAAATTACGGAGATAAGATAGCCGAATGGATGCCTTAGTTAATGCCTTAAAGCATTTTTCTAATTTCGTTAGGTTTAAATTTATTGTAAAAAATTATGAAATAAAATTGGTGACGATAAGCCTATATTTCGATAGTTGTTTTTACTTATGTTTACGAAAGGTATTGGAAATATTATTTATTTGTTTAGTGCCTTTATAATTTATCTATGAATTTTTAATAATTAATAATGATAATTTCAATAATTAGTATTACTATTATTAATTCATTTTTTTGAAATATTGAAAAATGACTGAATGCGCTTGATTCGTGGCTACTGTACTAGTCTCTTTATTTACTCCGGCCACGAGGCAAAATCTATGATGCTACTTATCTTCATGCGACAAATCAACTTGTAAGATGATTATTATCAAGTGAACTTTTTAAGTCAAATTGACGATTTTAGTAAAATTTGTCGATTTAAAATTGGCCATTTGAAATTTTAATGCTACTGCAATTATAATTCGATATAATTTAAAAAGATTTGGAAATCTTATTTGTTGCTTAATATCTATAAAATTATATTTTTATAAAAAATGATTTTCTATAATTTAAATTATTTTTACTTTAAAACATTATGAATTACATGAATTTTTTGAAAAAATGACAAAATTAATTATTGATAATATTTATTGAAATAATTAATAATTGAAATAATTATTTTTTAAATATAAAAATACTTTATTATTTTAGAAAAAAATTTGAATGATATTTAAAATAAATCTAAAAATAATTTTTATGAATTTTTGAATTATAAAAAATAATTTAAATTCTTACAAATTGCAAATATTTGAATTATTTACCGCAGTTGTTACGAAGATTTTCTGTTTTATTGGACTATGATCGGTATTAAAAATCTAAATATTATTTATTTGCAATAATGTCATTGATCATAAGAAGCAAAATTTTAACTAATTTGATGATTAAATCACTAAATTATAAATATTTAATCACTAAATTATAAATATAAATATTTAATGATATTTGATAAGAGAAATAACACTGGAATTGTAATTTTTTTTCGAGAGAATTACGGCGTATTTCTTGAATTTGCATCTAAAAATAAACGTTGTTATTTCAAACACTGTTAATATGTTACCAGTTGAAAATCTCAAAATATTCATCCATCTGAATATGAGCAAAAAACCCGAATATGAGCCAATATAATGGGAATATTAATTAATCTTTCTGTAATGATTATTAAATAGGGGAATAACGGCTCAGTGAGTTGTTGCTCAAATCGGAGCGCCGAGGCAGAGGTAAATTTGCCCAAAAATCTGGGGTGATGCTAGCGACTCACCTGTACTTCTATCGCTGAAAGACTCCCTGCCATATTTTCCAGTCTAGCAGTAAGCCAGCGGAGCGAATTTAATCAATAATGGTGAGGATTCTTTAAAAAAACAAAAAATTTAATAGTTAAATCAAGAAGCACAAAAACATGGAAGTAGTTTATTTCAGATTACTCGATTATTCGATTACTGGTTTTGCATTAATTTTATTTATACGAAATTATATTTTTAATAAAAGAAGAGACTGATAAAACAAAAAATTTCTATGCCACCTTATCACCTTTTTTTAAAAAAATATAAAAAAACTTAAGCTTAATTAATTAATTACAATTTTCAAAAAAAGATTAATTGATTAACTTAATTATTAATTAAATAAATTAATTAACGTTAATAAATAATTAATAAATAAAATAAATAATAAATAAATAAATAATTAATAATTAATAATAAATAAATTGTTTATTAATTAACAAATAATTAATTAATTGAATTTTTTTTCTTATTTAATTTTAATTATTCAATTATTATTAATACTATTTTAATTATTCAATATTAATTATTATTATTTTAATTATTCAATTATACTTAATTATTCAAATTTATCATTTAATATTTAATGTTTCGTTTGAATGTTTAAAATTCGTTTAAATGAGATTATTTACAAGTTTAATAAAATATTACGAAAGATCGAAAATCTTTTCAATTATTTCATTAATCATATAATATATTCGAATAAAATTTTTTCCACATAATTTTCCATGGAATTTAGAAAGCTTATAAAAATTGATTAATTGCATGTTTTTAATTTATCAGTTATCAGTTAAATTAATTAACAATCGCTATATATATATATATATGTATATATCATATGTAAATATTTTGTTATAGAAGAAGTGATGACGATATCATTGGTGGATTATGCTGTTTTTATTTTCAGTTTATCACTTTCTGTTTGTACAGGCGTTTATCATGCTATTAGGTATTTATATGTTTTCATATATATACAATTAATTTTTTGAATTAAGAATACTTATATAGGGAACGAAATACATGTGTAAATTCATAGCATTAAATTTCATATGAAATTTTTATTTTTCATCGAGATTCCTTTAAGGAATTCGAATCGAAAATATAAAACGTAGTATCGCATGAGAAAAATAGGGCACTCAGTCATGGTAGTTTTTCTATTCCGTATTTTTTGAATCGAATAATTATGCGATTAATTCTGGAGATGTTTGCGAACAAACGATACATCTTTCTCTAAAATGGCTTATCTTTTTTTTGCAAAATTTTTAATATTTCAAAAAGCTTAAGAAAAATAATAAATATAATTTTTCTTCGAATGGGCATATAAATGTGATAAATATTGATAAATATGATGAAATTTTTTTTATAAAAAATTCCAAATCAAGTTTTATTTTAATTTTAAAAGGTAATCAATCTTAAACTTTCGTAATTTCTTTAAGAGCTTATTATTCAAAATCAGAATTATCAAAAAATGAAGAATATATGATGGGTGGTAAAAATATGCCAGCATTTCCCGTTGCATTAAGCTTATTAACAACTTTCTTATCGGGTATATTAATGCTTGGCGTTCCAGCAGAAATGTTTCAACGAGGTATATAAATATTTTTTATTTTTTTTCCACTTTTTTATAATAATAATTATTATTTAAATTATTTTTTATATTATAAAAAAAATAAAAAATTAAGGTGCTAATATATGGATGAATTTTATTGTTGGTGTAATAGCATCATTATTAACTGCCACTATATTTTTACCAGTATTTTATAAAATGAAAGTAATTTGTCTTCATGAATATTTCGAATTAAGGTAAATAATTTCTGTTAATCAAAAGAGAACCATCTTCTAAACTACTTGATAGTTATTTCATGCATTTTTTATGTTATATCATTATAGCATGTTATAGCATTATTTCATTTAATATTGACCAAAAAACGTTGATGAAACATAATGAAAATTTGAATTTTCTTAGTAATTTTAAGCTTAAGCCTTAAGATTGTAGGTTTTGCTAGCGAATCAATGATTATTATAATAATAAATTTATATAATAATTTATATAATAAATATATATAATAAATATTTGCTAAGAACAATTATGATATGATAAAATGTGATAAAACGCTAAATAATTGCTGCTATATGGATAGATAGTACAGAATTTTTTTTTGAAGAGTTCTCACTATTACCAGCTAAACTTGCTCCACTGGCTTGTCTCAATTGAGAAATATGCCAGGGAATCCGTTAGCGATAGAAATACAGGTGAGTCGCCGGCATCACCCGAATTTTCTTGTACAGGTTTACTCCTGCGGGGAATCGAACCTCACCATCGATGTTCCCAATTGAGCAACAACACACTGAGCCATTCTACATTATAGATAGTATAGAATAGATAAATTAGAATAGATATAGATAAATTTTCATTTTCCTTGTTAGAAATTTTTTTCCCTTTTTTTTAATGCATTTTTCTTTTTAATCATTTTAATCATTTTTAAGATGAAATTACCTTTAGATATTTGGAATGATTACAACACTATACACAACGATTGGTGGATTAAAAGCAGTTGTGTGGACAGATTCATTACAAGTAAATCTTTTTGCAATAATTTACAAACATTTCGCCTTTTTACAATAGGCTATGCTTAATGAATTTTAGGCATTGTTAATGTATGGTGGCGTATTCACTTTGGTTTACGTTGGATTGCAAAATCCAAAAGTTGGTGGATTTAATCGCGTATGGAATATAGCCTATAATACAGGTCGAATACAAGATGCATGGCGGAATGAATTTACGATTTTTCAGGTATATTTTCGATGAATGAATTCTTTTTTGCATGAATAAGTTTTTCTTAACCAAATGAAATTTTCACTGAAGAAAGCTGAAGAAAATTCGATCATTCATAGATTGATTTTTGTGGATGAATGGATGAATTTTTCAATTGATTTAAGGAAATGATCAGTGGTCGTAAAACTTTTTATCATGAATGCCATAAATAATGATATCCATTATAATCATTTTCAAATTTTGAAATTTTAAAGTATTTATTAAATTTTCTCACCAAAGAATTTTAAATGAACGCAATTAATCTGCATAAAATAAGATATTTGTTACTATTCTAATAAAATGTATAAAATATATGTGAATATATATAATTCGAACTAGGCTTCTATGAATCCTTATAAGAAACACCACAGAAGCTTTAGGCTTTCAATAGAGGCCAATTTAACGACACTACTGGATTGTCGATCACATACATTTTAATTAGCCAGACGTCGTGAAATAATTTCAGTATAATAACTTGTGGATTAATTTATTCAGTGGTACAATTATTTGGTTGGCAGCATTTGGTGTTAATCAGCTTGCAGTACAGCGATATTTTTCGCTACCAAGATTTTCTGATGCCACAAAAATCATTTATCATACAATTATTCCATTTCTTCTACTCTGTAGTCTTGTTGCCTTTATTGGATTCATCGCCTTAGCTTATTACTTCAATTGTAATCCATTGGAAACCGGTGAAATTAACGATTCGGATCAACTTATTATATTATTTGCTAGAGAAGTACTAAGTATATATATTTCAAATTTTTTTTAGACTAAAAAAATTCTTATATTTTCTATTTAAAAAAAAAAAAAACAAAGAAAATTTTCTAATTTTAAGCACCAACACGTGGATTGTTTGGTTTATACGTTTCATGCATTATGTCAGCAACACTTAGTACACTATCGTCCGGTATGAATAGTATGGCAGCAGCTATTTATGAAGATTTTTTCAAGAAAAATTTATATGGTAAAATTAGCGACGCTAAAACGGCAACAATGAATAAAGTAAATTTAATATAATTTATTATAATATAATTTAATTTAATTAGCTTATTTTCAGAAAAAAACTAATAAATATGATAAATATGAAAAAGGATAATTAGTTGATGTTAAAAGTTCAAAAAAAGCTGATAAATATGAAAAATAATAATTGGTTTATCTTAAAAGTTCAAAAAAAAAACTTATAAATATGATAAATATGAAAAATAATAAATTTTTTTGAGAGAAAATACAAAAGAAATAATTTTTAATTTCAGATCATCGTAATGACGATTGGAATTTTGTCAACTAGTTTAGCATATTCAGCTGAACCACTTGGAGGCATTCTAAGGGTTAGAAAATAATTTCAGTAATTCTAACTAAGTAAAAAACAAATAATATAAATAGTATAAATGTAAAAAAAATCCCCTATAACCTTAGTGGAAGAAAAAGAGATACGTAGAATGGCTCGATGGGCTGTGTTACTTACTTCTTCCGGAGAGACAATGCTAAAGTTTTACTCTCAGTAAGAGTAAATCTGTTTTTCAAAAATACGAAATGGTTCCTGTGATCCATTTAAGTACTTCTGTTGCCGATCGACTCTTTGGCAAAATTTGTTAAAAGCCACTGGTTCGAGCATAGCGCCTAACGAAATGGTGAATTTTCCTAGAAAAATAAAATAATATAAAGAAAACTAATCGCATACGGATTGGTACCTAAATGTTATAGACCAAAAAGTTTTTTTCTAAGAACTTCTCGAATCGTCTCAAAAGTTCATATTTGCAATAATTCGATAAAGGATCTAGAAATCCTCATGTAATTTAATAGATATTTTTTATAGGTGTGTATAAGTGTAATGGGCGCTACCGGTGGACCATTTGTCGGTATCTTTGTTCTCGCTATGTTTTGGCCAAAAGCTGGCGAAAAATCTACGTTTATTTCATTTGTTTCATCATGCATAATAATGATGATAATTTGTATAATAAATTATATTGAAGATCCATATGGTCAATATTTTTTAGAAACTAATTCAACGTAAATTTTATATTTTGAATATTTAATTTTTATTTTTAATTATTTCTTTGTTAATTAAATTATTATTTATTTGAGAAAATTTTATTATTATTTATTATTATAATCAATTTAATCAAAGAAATTTATCGTTTTATGACGAATATATATTGCAATAAAAAAAATGAATTAATAACAAATTAAATTTATGATAAAATTTATAAATTTTAAGCGAATAAATATTTGAAAATTTAGTCGAGAAGGTTGTAAAAATATTAATTTTACACGTCGAGCTTTACCTCCATACGATGCTTATTATGGCAATCCTGAAAAATCATTGATTTCGAGGTTAGTAAAGTACCTCAAAAAAAATTTTTTTTTTTGCTTTTGTCATTTTAATTTTTATTTATATAAAAATATTAATGTATGTATATGTATGTAAAATATTAATATTAATGTATATAAAATATTAATAAATACTATATGAGAATTTCCTTATATCTATAAATTTTTTTATTTTTTTTATATTTGCAGAATCTCTACATATTCATATCCGGGTATTGGCATGATTATTATGTTAATTATTGGTGCATCATTAACACATTTCTGGAAGGAACAAAATCCGGAAGAAATTAAGCATCTAACTTTCTATGGTCGTCAGTAAGTCGAATTTTTTATTAATATATTTCCACTTCTCCCACCTTCTCTTCCGTAAGGATACAGCAAAAATGAAATTTGACCAATTTTCCTCTACTTTTAACTTTTTTTTTAAGTCCTCACCCCACTAGTCCTAAACTTGCTCCGCTGGCTTATCACACTGGACAAATATGCCAGGAAATTTCCCTTAGCGATAGAAATATAGGAATATAGGTGAGTCGCCAGCACTTTTAGACAGGTTTACTCCTATGGTTTGTCCCCTTACTTTTTACTATTATATGGTGAAATTACTTATTAATTGAGCTTCAATTCGTTTCTTTCGGTGAATTATGAATCCATCTATAAACTAATGGTTCTTTTTGGAACTAACTATGAATTTTAGCTTATCAATGCGATATAAAATTCGTCTCAGTCAATCGCTCTGTACAGAGGAGCAACTCAATCAGCGAAATAACAAAGTTGAAAAATTTTAAAATATCAATTGAAACGATTCCCATAACTTTTTTATATTATGTATATTTAATATACATATAGTTTTTTTCATAATTAATTTCATAGTTTTTATAATTTTATCAATTTTGTAAATAGATTAGATTTGACGAACAGTTGGTAATTTCAAAAATAAACGTGCGAAACCTCAAAAAAAAAAAATTTATTCCTAAATTTCAACAGTAATTTATTCCTAAATTATTACAATGGCAATTAAAATGGCAATGTTTTCTTTTATATCACTGAAATAATTTAATAAATTCAACAGCTAATGAAAGATAAACTATTCTTTTCAAAACACCAACAAAATAAGAAAAATAATAAATTCATCAAGAAAAAATAATTAGGCCAATGAAATCATTTATAAATCACTAACTGTTAACTAATTGTTAACTATATAATGCATTTATGAAATTCAAATTTAAAAGAAAAATTATAATGTAAGGAAACGTGATGGAAAAAATGGGCTTTTTCCTTTGCTGTATTGCAGAAGAATTGAAAAGTTGAGTAAAATTTAAGTAGAATGAAATTGGGAGTGTGGTATTACTGCACTTTCTTCGCAATTTTATATTTCGCTTTTCCACCTCCAAAAATATATGCACGGAAAAAGAAATTTATAAATAGGAGAAGATATGTTATCTCCATAAAAAGAGCAAATCTGTAAATATGCCATTCGATGTCACAATCCTGGAAAGCTTACGGATTAATCGTTTTAATATGAATTTTTGTAAAAATATTGTTTAAAATAGATTTTGAATAAAAAATTTTGGTAAATGTTGCTGTAATTACAGCCAGATGATCAAAAAATAATGAATATGCGAAATTAGACCAATATTTCCATAATTTTATGATGGAAAAGGGGAAACGATAATGTATATAACAACTGTATGCAAAGATAATTATCTGAATATCATTAGAAATGGAAGCATATACCTTATCAAGCTTAAATCCGAGATCAGCAAGCAAGGCCAAACTAATTGAGAACTGAAGGATTTGGAGAGAAGTAATGAATTTAGCCATCCCAGCAGGTACGCGAGCATTTATCGAACGAAAGAAATAATAACTGGAAAAAAAATCAAGACAATATACTTTTTACAAATTATTAAAGAAAATCTTGAAATTCGAATTTTTCGATGGAAAATTCTAAATAAATTTCCAATACCTGTACATGAATGAATGTACAAAAAAGTTCATGAGAATTCCCCATCGATTGAAGCCTGGTGTCTCCGGATATGAATAAAACGAATACATTAACGTCATCACATGGTGGTACCAGTGAAGAAAGATTAGGGGCCTTTTTCGAAGCACAAGAAATATGGTATCAATCAGTTCCAATAATTTTGAAACAATAAATAACCAAACCCATAAGCCTCCTAAACCACTCGTAAAACCAAATGCTTTACAATATGAAGCTGCAATATCGATAAATAAGCCCAATTATATTCTGAAAAAACGAAAATTTAGGAGTGATATTGAAACTTATACTAAAATAAATCAAAAAACATTACCTCTAAATCCTCGTTCGCGAAGAGTTTCCATAAACTCAGGCAAAAGCATAAATGTTCCACAAATACTAAATAGTGCCAAAAAAGCATTCCAAATATTGAGCGGTAACGAAAGTTTGAATGGCTCGCGATTTTGCATAACATATTTGATGCCAAATATAAAGAAAATATACAATAAGGAGGACTAAAAAAATCATACAATGCATTTTGATGGTGCCATTAATAATCTTCCAAATTTGCCCACTTTCATATTAAAAAATAAAAAATAAATAGAAATTTTAAAAAAAACTGAAAAAAATTAAAAGTCATGCAAATAATAAAAAATTATAACAATAATAAAAAGTGAAATAACAAATAATGAAATAAATAATAAAATAAGATTCAATACAATCTATTTAAGAAAATATAAAAAAAATTCATGAAATTTGAAAATGTGATTTGTATACATTGGAACAAAAACTTAGATTATATCCAAATTAAAATTTAATTAAATTTAATTAGAATTTAAATAGGAATTCTTTACTACTTTTACTACTTTACTACTTTTACTACTTTTTATTTTATTTTAGAATTTAAAATAGAATAAATGAAACGCCTTTAAAAAAAAAATTTTTCTGAGCTTTTTGAATTAAATTTTTTTTTTGAACTTTAAAAGAGAAAACCTGAAGTGCAAATAATTGATGATTTAATACCCATTCCTTAGCATCAGAATCAGAAAAATTTTTCGCTGAAATAATTCGATAAAATTCATCCGTGTTTAATGTTGGAATCGATAAAATTTTTTGCGAATCAATCATTTCGAAATTTTAATTTTCTGTAAAATACAAAAAAATTTCTAAAAATAATAAAAGATTTAATAATAATAATAATTAGATTAATGAAAACAATTCACCTTCTAAATAATAAAAATTAATAATAGAGAGCAATTAATAAAAATAACAAATATCAAAAAGCTAAATTGCAAATAAATCTATAGCAAAAAAAGACGAAATAATTGAAAAAATATTTGTCAATCATGTATGATTTTAAAAATAGAAGTAAAATTTTAAATGTTACTGAAAAAGGAAAATCACAACCTGATTACTATCAGGTATTACCAGTGGTCCCACCACGGTAATGGCCAATTAATTAGTAAACCCCCAGGCGGAACCACGCAACCACCCTCTCTCCCACCCTCACTTCTTTTGATCCTTATCTTCCAAATTATACTGCATTAAACCAAAAAAACTTAACTTTTCCTTTCTAGACCCATTTTTTAGATTTCCGAATTTAACAGCTCACTATTTTTAGAAATTCATCTTAAAATTTTCAAAAAGATCTCATTAAAATCTCAGTTTTCGGCAATGAATCGTAAATTATTGTATTTTCATTCTTTAGAATATCGAGATGAAAAACTCAAAGATAATATTCTACATCGAAAAGTTGAAAAAATTTCAAGAATTCACGTGAAGAACGTGTAAAACACGTACACGTGCGAGCTCGCTACATCTAAGCTGCAAAACACGTACACGTGCGAGCTCGCTACGTCTAAGCGTAATTGCCTTCATACTCAGCAATTTATTCATTCTTTATTCATATGATGTTCATTAGATTTTGCACCTTTAATTATTGTAAATTTTCTATGAATCTTTTCATCATTAAACTAACGCAAATAATAAAAGTGTGGCGCCTCTAGCTCGACTATTGGCCTATTGACTATTGGCCATAAAAAGGCTTAAAAGACTTAAAACCAAACTTAAAAGGTATTCCACCACGTATGAGCAAGCGATCTATTGCAAATATAGAGGAGGAAATAAGCAGGGAACACAGAAAGAAAAGAAAAAAAAAGAAGGAAAAATTGAAAATGAAAAATATAAAAGGGAATGCAATATAGCTAAGTACTAACAAAAATAGCGATTTTGCAATTTATGGACCTCTTCCAGAAAGAAATTATTATAAAGGCTTGAAAAACCTAGGGAAGTGCGAGGAAGTGCTAAACATATTCGAGAGAGGGAGGTGGGAAGGGGGGGAGGGGGGGAGTCAATAAAGATTTCTTAAAAAACGCTTCAGTGCTAAAAACTGAACTTATCATATATGAACATAATAAATTATACATAAATATCTCAATATTTCTAATGATAATTCGTATTAATAATAATTATTTATTAATAAAATTTATTATTTATTTTATTTGAAATAAAGAATTTTTCTCATTTTTTTTTTAAATATATAAAATATTCATAAATTTTATTTATATTTATGAATATTTACAATTTTTCTAAAACGTTAAATGTCTATAACAAATAGAGGAAAGAAACTTTTTTTTTTCGTCTTTTTTCGTATTTCCATTTTTTCCAAAAAAAAATCAGAAATTTTTCCAAAAAAATTATTTTATCTATTTAACAATAAATTTTTGAATTTAATAAATTTAATAATAAATTTTATTTCAAAAATCTTAAATTTTTATTTTTTATTATCAATTTTTTTTAAAAAAAAGCGTTGCAATATTAGTTAAATATTAGTTAAATATGTTTATTTAGAAATGCCATTAAATAAACGCCATTAAATTTTAAAAAATACCAAAATTTTTTTTTTTAGATAAAAAAAAATATTTATTTCGATAATTTAAACAAGATCGTATCGAAAGGTCGATTCGTTTTTCTAAATTTTCGCCCAAACAACGCGAATATTTTCATGAATACACAAGGTCATAATAGGTGGGCAAATGATCACAAAACGAGCCATCGCCCTAAATGATGCCTCGATTTTTAGTGGAAATAATGAAAGCGAAATTCTTAGGGTGTAAAAAATGAAGAAATTAAAATTTTATATAATAATAACTTCAGATATTTTTTTGTAATCTTTGTTTCTTTCTTTTTTTAATAGTACTAATAATTTTTAGTTTAGTAACGAGCATAGAAGCTTTGTGTTCGTTTGGCTAGCTTCATTAATTTCTTCGACTCTTGACGAACGATTCTTATGCCAGAGAATTACTTGTAGATTTTGAAAATGGAAGTAAAGAATATAATCGGAGGTTATTTTGTTAAAGTAATCTAAAAATATAATCCACTTTTTGAGAATAGATTGATGAAAGGATAATCTAGTGGTATATTATTTCGACTCAAGTACCATGAGTTCTATTTTTTTGGTTGGAGTAAATACAGCAAAATTGCCATTAAGACTAAAATTCGCCCGCACTTATACTTTAAGCTTTCATTCTAATTGTAAGTGAAACCAGAAATATTGTGGAAGAAATTGTGAAATTATCATTTCTTTAACCAACTCATTCGTTTTTCGTAACTATCTTCAAAATCTTATATTTTTCGAAGAAGAATTCCAAAATTAATGCATAACATGCCAGACTAGCAATAATCGGCATGATTTCGAAATGATTAATTAGGCTGGTAAAAAGCTTATAACAAACCTTTTATTAAAATAATACCAATTTGATAAACAATACTTTAAAAATTTAAAAATTATCAATTATTGGTCAAAATTGTATTTGCCTTTTAATATAAACACCATTCTTTCTATCATATCAGCAGACGACCACGCAGAAATTCCTTATCAGTTTGCCAAGTTTTAAAACTTTGATAAAGAAATCAGATATTTACAAAAATTGTGAAAGACATTCAAAAATTAAAATAAATTTTTCTTTAATTTTTTTCACATATAAAATTTATGCTTATCGCAAATCTAAGATTTTCCAATAAATAATAATGCATTTTTATAAATTTTTTTCGATTTTAATTATTACTTGAATAAAAACGCAAATATATGAAATATAAAAAAATATCAAGGAAATTAGTGAATTAATTATCATCGTACAGTTTCCACTACTTTTATGAAAATCATTCAAATAAAGCAAATTGCCCTTCTTTTAACGACATGAAAAATTCTCAATTCTTAAAAATTCGATAAATAATTAATATTAATAATTAAATAATTAATATTTATTGAAAGACCTATTATTTCAACATTCGTACTAAAAATGAAGCGAAATAATTTTATCGATAATCAACGATAACGAATTGTTTGTGGTTATACGTCGATGCCTTCTGGAATTGTGAAATTTCAGTAATTTCAGTAAATTTCAGAATATCAATAAAAAATGAAAAATTTTATTTCCTTAAACATAAAAATAAAAATAAAATAAAAAATAAAAGTAAATAAAGTAAATAAAATAAAAAATTTACAACTGAGAATCAGTTAAATCAGTAAATGAGTCGTTGTTATTTTTTAGTTTGATTGTTTAAAAAATTCACAGAAAATATGAATTTACCAGATAGACAGATTTGCCAAGAAAAAAAAATTTTTATGGAAAAAATTTTTTGTCAATTAATTAATGCAAAAAAATATTAGTTTTCATGTTTCATAGGTCGTTTATCGATTATATTTCAAGTTTAACCGATTTGTCCTTGAAATTCTTTTTTCCCTTTTTAGCAAGAAAAACGAAATTTTACGATTTTAATAAAAATGAATTTATTTTGAAAAATTTATGAAATTAGGTGAATTAATTCAAACAATGAATTCAAATAGATTCTTAATCATTCGCAAATTTTTTTTCGAATTTTTTGTATTTTTTAATTTATTGTAATTTATTAAATTATAAATAAAAATTTATTATATAAAAATCCAATAAAAAATAACTAAATTAGTCAAATAGCGATTATCAACGATGAATTTGCAATGAATTTCGAAAAAAAAAAACGAAAATATTCTCTTCACGGAAATTATACAAAATATTTTTGCAAAAAGAGTTGAATAAAATTTTTTAATGATAATCCTTCATTCGATATTTTTAAACTCGATGAATATTATCAATTGATTGGTTTTAACCGGTTTTTCTATGATAAAATTTTAAATTTAATCGAGAAAATGCAATGTTAATTCAATTTTTTTTTATTAAAAATGAAAAGAATGATCGAAAATCATAAGAAAAAAAATAAATAAGAAATAATTTTCAAGAAAAATTTCTACCATAAATAATCGATCTAATTTTTTTAATAATTTTATGAAATATTGAAAATATTTTAACGAATTCCTTTCTCATCATATAAGTCATCCTTAATCTTGGATCCTCTAAAAGAAACCTGGGAATTTTCTAAGTGTTCTGCGAGTAATATTTTAGCTGTGCCTAGTAGTGTGTACAGAGATCTCTAATACTGTTCCTGGAATTTTTGAATCACTTTTCTCGTTAGCGATTCAGTACCTCTAGTGCTTCTAATTGCCACTATGATCACTTTCCACATTTTTTCTAGTTCTTTCAGCCTCGGCTATTTTTCTAATTTCTCTTAATGTTTTTGGTATTCCTACCTTTATCAAAAGTGCTGATTTTTGGTTCTTGTTTACATATTAACCAAGGCATCTGGTTGATTGGTCAGTGCTTATTTGTCTTTCTGGATGTGAAAGTACCAAGAGAGACCATATATATAAAATAGGAAAAGATGGGAATAATATAGTAAATCCATAATTGAACCAGTGACACCATCGATGACATTATCACCATCATTATCACCATCCTCAACCTCATCATCATCCTCATCATCATCGTTGTCAGCATAATCATTATCATCATCTTCATTCCCTTACATATACCACCTGTCGATTTTTATCTTTTGCCTCCTTTACCTTTATTATATCCTCGTGTCCCTAATTATCCTTACTTTGCTGTCGCTTCTCATTCTACTTCTGATAATCTCATGACTCCATATTTCCTTATTAAGGCTGGTAAGGTTTTGTAAATTCGTTAATTCCATTTTTTTTTCTACCATTATTATATATGCTATTATGTCGGTTAAATGAGGATCGCTCGAAA